TATTCTATTCTATTCTACTCTATTCCATATTGTCTATTCTATTCTCTCTTCCATATTGTCTATTCTGTTCTGCTCTGCTCTGCTCTGGTCTATATTCTATTCTATTCTATTCCATTCCATTCCATTCATTTTTCTACTCTACTCTACTCTGCCCTGCTCTACTCTGCTCTATATTCTATTCTGTTCTGTTCTGTTCTGTTCTGTTCTGTCCTATTCTATTCCATTCCATTCTATTCCATTCCATATTTTCTACTCTGCTCTGCTCTATATTCTATTCTGTTTTGTTCCATTCCGTTCCATTCCATTCCATATTTTCTACTCTGCTCTGCTCTGTTCTATATTCTATTCTATTCTATTCGACAATTTAGGATCGTCTTCTTCCTGGTTATTCGAAAAAGATTCAGTTATAGAAATGACAACTTTCCGATCATTCTCTACATCTCCCAGCTTTGCATTTGGAGTGAAATGAATCCCAAATTGCTCTTAGTATATTTTATTATTTTATTTCAAAACGGTCAGAGAGGAGGGTAATTTCCTAAGAACCGCCCGCCATGGCGTTCGAGGAGCTCCTGTCTCTCAGCCCCGCCCCTTTCGAGGAGGAGAGTTTGGGTGGGGGGGGAGCAGAGGAAAAGCGTTCTCTTCTCACGGAGGAAATTAGCCTCAGTGGCTCGCCATACAGGCATACACGAAGCCTTAAGCAGCGTGAGAGTTGGAAGAGCGAGGGGTTCACCTTTCCATCCCTGCTGCGGGACTTGCAGCTTTGTGGGTTGGTACTCGAGACGCTGACTCGAGTATAAGCCGAGGGGGGCATTTTTCAGCACAAAAAATGTGCTGAAAAACTCGGCTTATACTCGAGTATATACGGTAATCTCAGTTATACATAGAAATAAAGCAGTATAAAAGTATAAACCACATTGACCACCAAATGATTGCACTGGATCATGGCCAGTTATAAAACATCAAAATTGGGAAGACTTGCTTTTTGCTATGCATTCTCCCAGGATTTCCTCTAATATCTTAATAATAATATATAATATCTCAATTTATCTTCAGTTTTCTTTACTNACAATTTAGGATCGTCTTCTTTCTGGTTATTCGAAAAAGATTCAGTTATAGAAATGACAACTTTCCGATCATTCTCTACATCTCCCAGCTTTGCATTTGGAGTGAAATGAATCCCAAATTGCTCTTAGTATATTTTATTATTTTATTTCAAAACGGTCAGAGAGGAGGGTAATTTCCTAAGAACCGCCCGCCATGGCATTCGAGGAGCTCCTGTCTCTCAGCCCCGCCCCTTTCGAGGAGGAGAGTTTGGGTGGGGGGGGAGCAGAGGAAAAGCGTTCTCTTCTCATGGAGGAAATTAGCCTCAGTGGCTCGCCATACAGGCATACACGAAGCCTTAAGCAGCGTGAGAGTTGGAAGAGCGAGGGGTTCACCTTTCCATCCCTGCTGCGGGGCTTGCAGCTTTGTGGGTTGGTACTCGAGACGCTGACTCGAGTATAAGCCGAGGGGGGCATTTTTCAGCACAAAAAATGTGCTGAAAAACTCAGCTTATACTCGAGTATATACGGTAATTTAATTTTACCCTTAAATAATTTTGAAGGGACTGATTAAAATTTTAAGTAGGAGAAAGAAGTACATAGAATCTGAGGAAAAATGCTAGGATTAATGCATTGTCAGAGGATTAATGCCTAATATTTAAAAACTATTTTCATATTTTGTGTTCGGTTCCAGTTTTTCAAATATGAGAGAAATGACCTTTTTATGACACTGTTAATCATTGGGAATACAGGTAGTTCTTGACTTCTGACCATTTGTTCGCTGACTGAAGTTACAGCAACGCTGAATGAAGGGACCTATGTTCGATTCCAGAAGTTATGGCAGTTGCAGTGCCAAAAATTCAGAATTCAGGTGCTTGACAGTCCACCTGCACTTAAACTACAGGGGCACTTCAGTGCTCTCCACCAACCTATCTCCCATCTCTTGCCCTTTTGTCCCCTGCACGTCCATAGTCCATGACCTTTGCCACCTTCTTTCTCTCACTGCTGATGAGACGTGCCTGGCCTGATCCTTTGCAAGGCAGCGGCTGGCTGCATAAGGTTTTTTTTCCCTTACGTCGTGCGTTGAGGTTTCCTCATGAGAACTGGGGAAGATGATCAGCAGCTACCTCATGAAGGGCCAGCTGGGCACACCTCGTTAGCAGCCAAAGGCAGAAAATGGCAAAGGTCTGCTAGGATGGTGGAGCACAGGGCAGCCAGGGGCCTTGGAGTACAGGGTGGTGTGGTTGACTGGGGCTGGCACTGGACTGGGGCTGAGCCTTGCACTACACTTCAGCTCAGAGGCTTCTTGCACTCTCAGAGCCACAGTGTGCCAGGAAGCTCTTTTATGCTTTCCATGGTGCAGTTTCCATGCTGCCGTGGGGCTTGGTGGCTTTTTTGCTGCTGGGCTGGGGTTGCAGCATGTTCTTTCCCCAGCCTCCCTGAACTCACACAACATTGCAGCACCCTGGAGCTTGTGTATTGTCTATGCTGAACCTCCCAGGATCTCCCTTTCCCCTCTTCGCCACCTCATATTCCACATCTGGAGTTACGATGGCAACTAGGAATGCTGGCATTGCTATTGTTAAGCAATTCACTCACATGACATCACTTTTTATGACCACATTACTTAGAGATGGAAATTCCAATACTAATTATGGTTGTAAATCAAGAATTACCTGTAATTGTAAGTGACCTCTTTATCAGTGGCTTCAGAAATCTTATTTTAGTGAATTAGCATGATATCACTACTTAGATGATGTGCATTCTGCAACATGCTTATTATCTTACCTTGGAAATTTAATTCAACAATAAAAATGGGTAACTAAGTCCTGCCTAAGAAGGAGTCCTTTCTCAACTGATGAGAGTTTTCTCTGTCTTGATTCTGATGTTCCCTTGCATATACTTCTCAGGTGACCCAAATGCCAAATGTTTGCAGCATGGATTCATGCTGCACATGAAGTACCAGGTGGTGTATCCTTTCCCCACGTTTCAGCCAGCATTCCAACTCAAGAAGGACCAAGTGGTGCTGCTTAACACCAGCTATTCTCTAGTTGCCTGTGCTGTTTCTGTGCATACGTCAGGTAAATGAGTGGGTGTGGGTGTTTATGTGTAGTTGCATATGTGTGTCTATGTGTGAGGGAAAGAGATGAGACTATGAATTCTAAATCCATATCCACTTTAAGACCTAGCTTACTGAGTGTTAGGGTTTTTTCCCTTTTTTGAAGATGGGGGACTCATACCTCTATCAGTTCATATCTTCTTGTTAAAACTTTAGTTAACCCTTAGTACTTGTAATGTTATGCTTGATCTTTACTTTGCACATTATATTAGGGTCATGTAGAACTTTTGAAATGAGGCGCTTCCAAATGTGCAGCAGCACAAATAAAGCACCTCACTTCAAATTATTAAAGCAACAACATTTTTGCTGAAGAAAGTGAAATAGTTGTCTATTTACACATACAGGGACAAACAAAGACAATATCCAAAACAGCTAGGTAAGGCTTGCAGAAGATGCAGTTGTTTCAGAATTTTAAAAGAGGTACTTGTGCTGCTGCATGCCATGAAATGTTTCATCCAAATAATTTGCACAGTCCTAATATTTAGCCAGTGTCGTTAACATTTATTTTTCATGCTGTCTGGACAGCAATAAAAATCCCTCATCCCTCATAAAAAATCCATATTTACTGCTGACAATGAAATAGAATATATTTTGAAAGAGAACTCATATTAGGCTGAATTCTGTGGGGGGTTTTTTAAATGCAGATTTCACCTTTTTACTTCAATGGGTTTTCAGAGTAATTAAGCAAATAGTAAAAATAGCTATCAATCCAAAAACATAAAATGATAGAATATGTAAAATTAAATCTAGGTGGTAAAACAACTGTGAAGCTGGAAGGAAGAAGAGAGAAGGGCTTTATTAGGTGCTAAAAAGATATAAAAAGAATGTAAAGGCCATAACTGTGTGTGAATATGTGAATGTGTGAATATGTGAAGTAGGACTATCCAAGAAAATTAGATTTATCTTACGAAGATTAGAGTTCATGCCTATTCCACTGAAGTAGCAATTTGGAGATGATTCCAGCTTTTGATTCAAGGTATTGGTAAAAAAAACTCTAGGTTTTTTTTAAAATTTGAAGGCAAAAATATGATTTGGCTACATAAAGATGCAAACATGGCATCTGTCTGCAACTCCTTTAACCATTTCCCCCAGGATCAGGTAGCAGTGTGATTGGACACACAAGGAATTTGTCTCCAGTGCATAAGCTCTCAGTGTACATACAAACAACAAAGTATATAAACATAAGATACTAATGGAGAAGAGTAGAGTAGAGTAGAGTAGAGTAGAGTAGAGTAGAGTAGAGTAGAAAAGATGAGAAGGATAATAATAATACAGCCATACTAAGTGGGTAAATATCCTTAGACATAAGACAGTACTGTGGTAATTAGGTGTTCAGCAGAGTGATGGCACAAGGGAAAAACTATCTTTGTGTCTTAATTGTTTTGGCATGCAACACCCTATAGCAGGGTCTTGAGGGGAAGAGTTGAAACAGTTTATGTCCAGGATGCAAGGGGGCCGGTAGATATTTTCTCAGTCCTCTTTCTGGTTCATGAAGTATACAAGTCCTCAATGGAAGGCAGACTGGTTGCAACAGGGTTTTTTGGGGGGGGGGCAGACCTATCAGTTGAAGTCAGTACCTGTCCTGTTAGTTGCTGTACAAAGCAGACAGTTATAGAAGTACAGATGACAGACTCAATAATTCTTCTGTAGAACTTCTTGTATCAACAGCTCCTGGGGCAGTCTGAACTTCCAAAGTTGACGCAGGAAGAACATTCTTTGTTGTGCCTTTTTGATGATGGTTCCAATGTTAGGTATCCATTTCAAATCCTGGGAGATTATAGAACCCAGAATCTTGAAGGTCTCTACTTTTTATAGTGTTATCTAATATTGTGAGATGTGATAGAATAGGAGGGCTCCTTATCATGTTGTTGTTCATTGCACAATCAGCCAGATGTTCAGACTGGGTTTGGCATTTTTGTCTATCGAGTCCTTACCCAGGACCTGGGATAGGCAGATGTGGATGTTTGATGGTGTTACAGATATTGTCGCAGAATGGAAGCTGTTCCTAGTAAAGCCGCCTTTTGTAGTTGACTGATGGCAAATTTGTCAATGCTAGTGGTGTTCAAGTGGTGCTCCAGTTGTTTTGGGATTGCACCCAAGGCGCCTATTACTATTGGTACTACCCTTGCTTGCCTTTGCCACAGTTGTTCTATTTCTGTTTGTAGGTCTTTGTATTTTGTTATTTTCTCCAGTTCTTTCTCGTCTATTCCAGGCACTGCCATGTCACTATCCAGACTTTTTTGTCTTTCTTATCGACAATTGTTAAGTCTGGGGTGTTATGTGCCAGGTGCTTGTCTGTTTGAATTCTAAAGTCCCAGAGCAATTTAACTTTTTCATTTTCTATGATTTTCTCCATTTTATGGTCCCACCAGTACTTGCTTGCAGGCAAATGATATTTCTTGCAGATCTTCCAATGCACCATTGTTGCTACTTTATCATCCCACTGTCTGTAGTCACTCTGTGCATGTTCTTGCAGCAGCTTACCAGGTGATTCACCATTTCTTCAGCTTCTTTGCATACGGTAGGTGGCACTTACTGTCTGTTGCTGTCTTCTCAATTCTGGCTTTGTATGCATTTGTCCTTAAGGCTTGGTCTTGTGCAGCCACAATTAGTCCCTCGGTCTCTTTCTTCAACTTTCCTGCTCTTAGCCATTGCCAGATCTTGTTATTATCTGCTTTCCCAGCTATTTTTAATGCACTGGCCATGTAGTACTTTGTCTTCCCATGCCTTTATTCTGTTCTTCATTTGGTCTTTCTTGTAGGACAGTTTGGTCTCTCCAGTAGTCAGTATGCCTTCCTGATATACAAACTTCAGTGCATCTTCATCATTGTCCTTCAGATATTCTTCCAAAGCCATTTTTTCTTCTTCAACCATCTGATGTACTTGCAACATTCCATGCCTACTTATTTGCCTTGATAGGTAGAGTCGGTCAGTGTCACTGATGAAGGGTGTGATTCATTGTCATTATTTTTCTGGTCCTCCTATCCATTGTTTTTAGTTTTGTTTGAGTCCAGTCCACTATTCCAGCTGTGTATCTAATTACTGGAATTGCCCAGATGTTGATTGCCTTGATGGTATTTCCTCCATTGAGTTTGGACTTTAAGATCTTTTTCACTCTCTTGATGTATTCACCTCTAATCTTTTTCTTGACTTAAATGTGCTTGATGTTGTCAGCTTGAAAGATACCCACGTATTTATAGTAATCAGCCTTATCCAGACTCTTAATGTTATTTTTGTGGGGCATCTTGATTCCTTCAATTTTCACTATTTTTCCTTGTTTGATAGTGAGTGTGGCATATTTGTCCAAGCCAAACTCCATTGCAATATCTTGGCTATATACACAGTGTTGAGCAGCGATTCTCTTTCAAACTGAGTTTTTCCATACAGCTTCAGATTATCCATGTAAAGGAGGTGGGATAGTTTGGCAGATATTTTTGATGTTTGATAGCCATGGACTGAGTTATTCAGTATTGTTGACAGAGGAAACAGTGCAATGACAAATAGTAGTGGTGATAGTGAATCTCCTTCAAATATTCCTCTCTTGATATTAACCTCTCCCAATCTCTTACCATTGACCTGCAGCTGTGTCTTCCATTGTGCCATCGATCTTTGCACAAACTTTCTGATATTTCTACTGACTCCTGTTATTTCTAGGCACTTGATTATCCAGTCATGTGGCAGAAAGTTGAATGCCTTTTTGTAGTCAATCCATGCTACATTCAGGTTGGTCTTCCTTCTCTTGCAGTTTTCCAAGATCATTTTGTCAATTAGAAGTTGATCTTTTGTTCCTCTGCTATTGGGGTGGTTTCCTTTCTGCTCAGGTGAAAAGAGATTGTTTTCAATTAGATGCTGTTGGACTGCATCAGCTATCACACCAGTTAGCAATTTGAAAGTTATTGGTAAGCAGGTAATTGGCCTGTATTTGCCTGGTGCTGCCCCTTTTGCTGGATCTTTCATTATCAGGTAGGTTTTCCCAGTTGTTAGCCACTCTTCAATTTCACCTCCTATGTTGTTGAACTATTTGGAAACAAGTAGGTATTGACCAGTTAGATCTTTCAACCAAAAACCATGCAATTCATCTTCACCTGGTGCTGACCAATTCTTGATCTTCCTTGCTCTTTCTCTACTATTTCTGCTGTTATTACTAGTTCTTTCAACTTCTTTTTTTATTCGCAGCCACCTCTTTTAGCCAAGCTGTGTTTTTGTATTTCTTTGGTTTATCCCATATCTGCGCCCAGAACTGCACTGTTTCTTCCTTGTCAGATACTGACTGATTCACTGCAGTTTCTCCATTGATGGTTTGTTAGAAACGTTTCTGACTGGATTGAAATTGGAGATTTTGCCTATAATTTGCAATTCGAGCTTTGTATCTGCTGATTTTCTTGGCTATAGCTGTTATTTGCTGCTTTATTATTTCCAGTGCTTCCTTGATCTTCCTTATTTCTAAGTGGTATTTCTTGATTAAGTAGTCTTTGGTCTTCTTGTTCTTCAGCTTCTTTTCTTTCATCTGTTCTAGCTTGCTTGCACCTGATCTCAACTTGCTGGTTTTATTTTCCAGACTAATCTTCCATTTTTGTGGTGCACTGTTTGGCTTTTTTTCTTTGTTGATTTTGCATCCCAGGTATTCAGTTATAACTGCAGCTGTGCTGTACATTAGTTGATTATTTCTTGCAGTGAGTTGGTGCTTATACTTGATATTGCAATATTTGCATCTTTTAATGTTTGTGCTAGCTGTTTCTTTGAACAAGCTTCAATGCAGGCAGCCTTATTCTGATGCTTTTGTGCTGTTCTAGATGCTCAGCTCTTTGTTTCAATTCTTTTATTTCTTTAGTTAGAGAGCTTTGTTCTTCCTGGGGCAGAGGAGAAAATGCCTGTTTTCCAAATGAAATCAGTTGTATATCTCTGCTGGATTCCTCTACTGCCAACTCCCCCTGCTTTGCCTCTACATTCTGAGTTACTTCTGGCAAGGCTTTGATTTCTTTGCTCTGGATAAACCTTGGCAATTCTTCCAGTTGTGCTTCTGTGAATACTTTATTTCGTATTATAAATTGACATTGATCTGCTGGTCTCTGTTCTTTTATTTCTGATTATGGATGTTGTTCTTTCCAGAACTGGTGCATTTGTTTCAAATATCCTCTTGTTGGACTTGATCTATAATAACAGTTCATTATTTCTTTGTTTTCAATCACTGTGTATTTGCAATGGGTAAACAACTTTTCCTCCAGTAGTTCTGCAGCTGCTGGCCCTGGTTGCTCAACCAACAATCCCAATTCCTGTAGCCTATTTTTCACCAGATATCCAGGAATTCCAACATCTAGTGTGGACCTTGTTAACCCGGGCCACATCCGAGCCAATATGGCTTTCTGAAATTTACGTCTCACCATATTTTTTATGGGAGAGACACTCTTTGTCTGACTCCTCTGATGAGACCGGTCCAGTATGGTTGAACCTCTGGGATAGCTCTCATTTTCTTCAGAGTACACAAGCCCCACAATCACATCAAGGTACTGCCTCACTGAGGGATTGTTGTTGTTGTTGTTGTTATTATTATTTGGGTGGGCTGTATATAGTAGGCCTATGAGAACCAAACCTCAAATCAAATAACTAAATAAACCAGGAGTTTTATCAGAATAAATAATTCTCTTGAGATCTCTGGGATTTTTTGAACATTTGAACTTTCAAACAGTGCAATGATGGGCAAGTCTTGCTTGCTTTAGTTATATCCCCAAGTATAGCAATTCAGTTTCCTCATAAAAATGAATGACATCCACTTACTTAATTGGAGAGGGGACTCTCCTCAAATTACCTCAACTATTGCAAATTAAAAGATTATTCTAATACAGAATATGTTCTGGACCATTACTATTCAATATAATTTGAATAGTAATAGTCAAACTTGCTACTAGAAGTTTTCATAATTGGTCTATGTAACTAGTGTTTTCTCCATTATGGATTTCAAAAGGAGTGAGAGAAATGGAAATTATGATGCTTATGTCATATGTATGATCTACCTCTGAATTACTTTCTTTGATTGCTTGGTCAGAATATTCATTGTCATAGCTATTGAGTCTATTTAAAAAAAAAAAAAAGCTTTGCTGGAGAACAGACTAAAGCCCAGCTTGTCAGTGGGGAAAAATGACAAGGGCATACTAGACACAACCAAATGTAATGATTATTTGTACGTGTATATTCATGTTTTGGAGTCAACAATATATTATGAATAGTCCTTGAAAATGTGTTGTAGAAATTGTGTGGCACTTCTGATTTTATTGTTGTTGTTTCCATTTAGATGACAGCAACTTCTGCCAAATTCTTTATGACAGGAGTCGCCAGACCCGGGCCCCTGTTGTGGAAGTGAGCCACACATCCCTTATCTCACATTGTCCTGCAGGCTTAGAGAAAGAGTTGGAAAAAGACAACTGCTCTTGCCAGAGTGAGACTCCATTGACACAGCCTCTTGCTGTACCTCCACAGGACATAGATACCCACGTTTCACCTGCTGTAGCTATGGCAAAGGAATTTGTTGCAGACATCTTCCGAAGGGCCAAGGAAGCCAGAGGCAGTGCACCCGTAGAAGAAGCAACGGCAGCAGGCAATGGACTCAAGTGCCTCCTTGACTCTGGGGCTCTAGGCCAGGATACCTTAGGCTCTTGGGACCTGAGGAAGACTTTGGAATCTTGCTTACATGGCAGTGTTGCTCATAGTTCTACATCGTCTACTGCAACCAGTAGCATTTCTGATATAGGGAGCTCCCCCAAAGAATCTTTTATAGCCAATTTTGAACTGGAAAGTCTGCCAGCTGAGCCAGGCTATGTGAACTATACCAAACTGCGCTATGTCCTGGAACCCAACGATTTTTCTGAGGCAGAGGATGGTGAGTATGGGGAAGAAAGTGGTAGTGGGTTTCTGATTTCTGACAGGATTTGCAGGCATGAGCCAAAGTATCAGTAAGAAAATGCTTCCATATTCTCCACTGGATAGCACTTTTTCCCATACTGTATGTGCTGCATTTAAATTTCTGTTTGAACAAGGGAAGGCTACTTTGTCCAACTGTGACAATGTTTCCTGCACCATCTCCATTGCCTAGCTGTAAACAATGGCTTCCTCATTGTGTCACCTTTTACTACATGAATTTCTTTTCTCACTTCACCCAAACTTTTCAATTAAGGCTAGCAGAAGATCAGATGGTGTAGCATAACCACATGAGGAATCTCTTTATCTGAAATATCTAGCATAATAAAATAGGAACCCTAATTATGCATTCTTTTTGTGTAACAGTTAATAGATCTAGCAGTGACTCATTCATAATTTTGGGGCCTCCTGCGGCGTGTAGCTTATAACTCTTAATATCCACAATTAAGAGTTATTCTGCATCATATTAAATGTATTTAGAGCAAGAAGTTTAAGTCTACTGTATTTAAGTGTAATTTTGTGTTATCGCATAAACTGTTTTATGTTAACTTGTTTCAAAATATCGCCCAATTTGCCAAATTTCAATTTTATAGAAATCGTGTGTCTCAGTTTTTGGATACTTCTGTAAATTAGGCCATTTGACATACAGTACTGTGATTCAGAAACTTGTTCTATAATCCACCATTTTGCCCATTTAAAAGTTACGGGAAAGTTTTAGTAGCATATAGATTCTCTGGATGTTCTTTTATATAACCTGAAACATCTTTTTTTAATTTGTGTAATATAGTCACATATTATGCACAACCACAGTATTTTTGTATGCATGGATTTTAAACTTGTTTAGGAAGAAATTTCTGGACCGTAGCCATTCTGAGACATCTGATCTTCTCTGATTGTCTAACATACCGGTAGTTGTGCTGTTTAAAAATACATCTTATGCATCTCGCCACCTATGGCATTTGCACTTTTTTCCTCTTCTTGCCAATGTGAATTGTTATAGTATTGGATTGCCTGCCACTGTGTGAAGACCAGAACAAACTGAGAAAAACATATTTCCTTCCAGGTGCTTTGTTCTAGCTTTTCATGTCTCTAATTGCTCTCCGTTTTGCTTGTGAGAGAACAGTTGTTATTTAATCAGCCGATCAGCCAATTTCTTTGCTGATAAAATGTATGATTTTCTTAAAAACTAAAATTTCAGCCTGTGCATTACTAACCCTATTTGGTGTATACATTTTTGTCTTTTATCATTAGTATATAATCAGAATATGCAGGCATTCAAGGTGATACATTGATTGGAGTATGTCTGATTTGGTTTTATAAATTTAATAATAACTGGTATATATTCAGATGGATTTGTGGAACAGATTTTTCCCATATAACCAGCAAGTGTTGCTTTTTAAATATTATTATTCACAGTGACAAGTTTTTATTCAATACAGTATAGTTCATGAGGTGTTTCAAAAATTGAAAAGTAGGAGAGATTAATGCTGACTGCTTGTTTTTCAGAATAGATTCACAAAGTGTGTTCTCTTGCATATTTGATCCTGGTACCCTGCCAGAACTAATTCAGAAGACGAAAATAAATATTTTCGACGATGAAGCCAGTCAAGTAGACAACTGCATGTTGAAGTCAGTCAATTTTACAGTGCAAACACTTTGCCTATTCAAAAATACTAAAAATATAAATTACTGATATAAATTTGTCTTGTAGCTAGTGATAGGACATTTTACTTTGATTAAGGCAGCATACAGTATAAGTCATAAATTTATTAATAAACTATCCAAAGCAAGAATATTAGTAAATGGAATTGATAGTTACAAGATATGAAAAAATCAAATGTAACAGATTTAGAAAAAGAAAAGATCTATCAGTGGCTATTGGGTGCTTTGAAATAATAAATAAACCTTAGATAATCAAAGGGAAGACAGAATCTCTTTGAAGCATCCTGTTCCAATACATTTACTTCTCCTGGTTTTGGTTTCCTTTTTTTTATTCTCTATCTTGCAAAAGATCTTTTTGAAGCTGTTCTTTTGATGCTCCATAATTATTTTTTACTTGGCTTTATGTTATTTTTTATTTCAGAATATGAGGATGACAAAATCTCCTTGCCATTTGTTGTGACAGACCTCCTAGGAAGAAATTTGAAGCTCTTAAAGGAGAAGGCCATTTGTGAGGTAAGAGCTGTTTCTAGGAATCTTCTGATGTGAGAGAAAGAGATGCTAACTGTTTGAGAAAGACCACTAAATAATTATTCTCAAGGAAATGTGAACTCATTAATATTTTTTTCATTACTTGCTTTCTTGGTTTTATCCAGTTGTTTGATCTTATTGTATTGAAATACAAAACATTTTTTTTTTTGGTAACACACCCTGATTAGTTGGAATATAGTGGTTTTAATTTAGGGATATGTATTGAACTCATTGAGGGATTATTTAAATAGCATCAGTTTATTTTTCAGCAAGTTTCCAATGTTTCTGATTTATATGTTTAAGCATCTTTGCTTTAGTTGCCAGTTTAACAAACATTATGTAGTTTGATCTTAGCTCATGTGACTATGACTGGGATGTTTGTTAATTATAGTTTATAGGTTGTGTGAAACCAATCACTTCTGGTTTATTCTGTAAATGATGGTTAAACAGGCATAGCATGTATTAGGCTTGTAATTTATCAGTTAGAGGACCTTCATACAAGGGCTGGAGACATAGCCAGAAAATATAAGGAACTATAACATTTGGCAAGCACTATGTGAATGGGAGAAATTTTCCAGTCTAGGTCCCCTATTCTCTTTTCTGTTAGATTTGAAAGATGTTCAATCTTTAAAGAGGAAAACACTTTAACTTAGCTTATTTGGGCAGTTCCTGGATTTCAGAAGTGATATTTTTGTCTTTCTTATGTTGTGTTGCATTCCAATTACAGTTTGAATCTGTTCTGGAAAGGAAAATCCCCCTATTTTTTAAATGAAATTTTAGAACTTCCATTTAAAATAGTTTTTGTCCAAATCAGAGAGGACAAATTCTGTATGTGAAAAGCAAATCAATCAATGTGCAAAAAATATTGACTATAATATAATATTTAGGCAACTGTTGCCATAATAGCATGCTACATTTTAAGCAGAATTTTAAGTCAATGGTTTTTGTCTGAAATTGTGAAATTAACAATGTACATCCAAGATCTCTTGCAGTTATGTTTTCCAACTATGCACCTGTTCTTCACATTTCCCTCTATCCCATGGATGACTATATATGCTTAACTAATCCTTGCTATAACTGAAAAGTATGTACAAAGAATTATAATAAGAGCTTGGAGTAGTTTGCGGTGTCATATTACACTCGGTTATGTCATTTTTCTGACTAGTAGAGATTTTGGACAAAATAGCTTGTTGATAGGAAAAAAAGAATTGAGATAGAGGAGTATTAATGTCAATGTTAGAGGTGTAAACAGAGGAGCAATTGTATTTATTTGTATAATGAGTTTCTGAAAATTAGCTGTCTTGCTAAGGGGCAGGCGATGCCAGAAAGTACTGATACAGATTCTTCCCTGCTATCTTTCTGCCTTTCCAGGGCCAATATTTAACAGTGGAGCAGCTGACTTTGGATTTTGAATATGTTATTAATGAAGTGATTCGAAATGATGCTTCATGGTCCAAGCAGTTTTGTTCCTTCAGTGATTATGACATTGTCATCTTGGAGGTAGGAATATGATAGATTTGTTTAATAATATCTTATTTGAGAATAGAACATCATTTTTATAGTATTGCTTCTTGGCTCATTAAAAAAATGCAGATGCTGTTCTCCATTTGAGGAAAGACACTTTTAGATTTATTTGTATTTGAAAATAATGGGGTATAAGTTTAACATACTTAAATTATATTTGCTAATGTTCACCATAGCAAATATATCTTCACTATCTTCAGCCAGAGCGCAGAGTATTGACTTGCAAGTTTACCTGTCCCCTTGAGTGTCAACATAGCTTATATTTCACTCTAATTAAACAGATTTTTAAAAATTTATCCTTAAATAATCATAAAGGCCCTTACCATTCACAAAATTGGTCCATATCTGTCATGATTTGTTTTTCAATAGTTTTAACTACAGAGTTGGTGTGAGGTAAACTGCTGTTTATTTGTCTAAAAAGGGGTGGAAATAGACTCCCTAAGGATGTCACATGGTATACATAAAAATAATGCGAATGGGCAGTTTTCTAGACCAGACTTGTCCCAACATACCTCCCCTAGAATTGTTAAACGACTTTCCTCGTGTCATATTTCTGATGTTCATTGCATTAACAAATGTAGTTCTGGGAGTTGTATTCTACCTCTGGAAGATACCTTATTAAAGGAAGGTTATTTAAGAATTAATGTATTTTTACAGTTCATGAAGAAGATCGTATAGTTAAGAGGAGAGATATGGCTTCCCTGCAGATTTGAGGTCATCCCTAATAGAACATGATTCTATTTACATTTTATATTGTCTTTTAACACAAATATTCCCAAAATAGCTTATATTTAAGAAAATAACATACATGTGAATTTAATTGTGGAGAGTAAATTTTAGTTATCCTGGAGAATAAAAGAATGTCATGGTTGCAATTGGAGGTAGAGATAGAAATATACAGACAGACATAATATCTGCTTTTGAAAAAATGCTTCTTCATCATAGTTATATATATATAATTAGAATAGAGCTGGAAGGGAACTTGGAGATCTTCTAGTCAGCCCCCTGCTTAATCAGGAAAACCTATACCATCTCAAGACAAGTGACTGTCTAGTCTCTTCTTAAAAACCTTCAGTGATGGTGTGCCCAAGATTTCTTTTTTAAAGAATAAAGAAGATGAGCATTTCCTTTAGTATCTAGAACTAGAAATGCAGAAAAAACAAATTGTGTGAACTCTGTAAAAACTTACATTCTTCTTCCAATCCAGCCATTCTGGGGACAGTCTGGCAGCTTTCCAAAACTTTCTATAATGCGTGATAATTGTGTGATGTGGAAATCAGGCAGGCATGAATAATAAAAGCTAGATATCTCTTCCAGCAGTAACACAATGGGTGAATTGGCTCATAATAACAATTCAGAGCTACAACATCTGATCAAGCTGCAACAGCAACCCAAATAATACAGTACTGGGATCAACTCAGTGATTGAATTGAGCTTATATTGATCTGTTCTTTTTTTTAAAAAAAGTTCTCAGCAGTCTGATTTACAAAGAAATAATAATTATAAAAAATAGAGTAGGAGCAGAGCTCTGAGTCATGTTTGCATCATTAGTTAGAAGATAAATATTCCCAATTTGCTTCATGTTGACTATTCTGATCAATAGTGCCAAGTTTTATTTAAAAGTTCTGGCATAACTACTGTTGCCTCATTGTATTCAGTGCCGAGTGGTACTGTCTTTTGTCAGTTATAAACTTTCCAAGGTGACCTATGAGTGTCACAGTTTATGACTTATGTAGATTGAAATAGTAAAAGGAATAAAATTTGGAATAAGGTTGTACAGGCAACTTTTAATTGATATTAATATTATGATGATTTTATTGTGGATTGCTGGCTCATTCCACTTTCTGATCACTTGTTCACACAAAGTTTTTATTTGTGCCATTTTAGTATGGCTGATTTGAATAGAAAAAGTATTACTTCAGAGAAGTCTCTGACTAGTAAGGGGCAGAGTAGGAAAACATGTTATTCATTCAATAAAAGCTGACTTAAATGTTATGAACAGCTAACAAGCTGATGGCTTATATTTTGATATTTTGAAATTAAAGGGTTCCTGCTTAGAGCAGGGGTCCCCAATCCCGGGTCTGTGGACCAGTACTGGGCCGCAGCATGCCAGCAACTGGTCCACACAAACAAGGAAAGGCCTATTCACAGGATGCAGGCAGTACACAAAACCATGCCCCCTCTCTCCCTGTAACTGGTCCCTGGTGCCCAAAAGGTTGGGGACCTCTGGATAAAGGTTGGGGACCTCTGGATTAGAGTATTTCTTTTTGGCTTGTGAGAGAGTTAAAAACACTACATGTCTCATATGTAGCACAGGAATGATCTAAGAACAACCTTGAGAGAGCCCCAATTGTTTTATTAAGTTCCTTTCAGTTTTAACCTTGGCTTCCCTTTAGATAAGAATAGAACCTTGTCCTCCAGCCAAATGCAGCTTATTCTCCAACATGATTGCGGAAGAATCCACCAATGGGTTATTTCAGTCCTACTGCCCAATCAGACCAAGTTGTCAAGTTGTCACGCCTCCTCGTCTGGGACTTCCCGGTTTTCATCTTGGTCTTCGCCCATGATGACGTGATTTCTTGACTCTCTTGTCTGTTGGAGCAGGTCAGGCTAGATTTTTCTTAATTCATTGGTGGATTCTTTTAGCTAAATTAGAGGACTGTTAAACAAATTTCCCCTTAGAACAAAATTATTCCCTCTTCCCTTCAGGGTTGTTTTCCCCTCCAGGACTGGGGGGGGGGGTAGTTTTTCTTTTCCCTTCCCTTAATTTGGTTTCCTTTCTGAGCCATCCTTTTGGTTTAAAGGGGGAAAATATTTTCCTTTAATTCCTTGTTTTTTCTGGGGGTTGTTGGGGTTCATTTCTACCCCGAGACAGCACGTGTGCTGCCTCATATTGGTGACTGCACCCTGAAGCCTCGTGGCTTCTTTCCTGACCAGGCCCGGTCGGAAAGACTTGCGGCCGCCATTTTGGATTCCTCCGTAAAAAGGAGGAGAAAGTTTTTGCTCATTTCTTGCCTTCTGGGGGTTGTTAAAATTAATTTAAACCCCCGGAGACAGTGCACGCGTGGCCTCAACCTGGTGACCGCACCCTGAAGCCTCGTGGCTTCTTTTCTGACCGGGCCCGGTCGGAAGGACTTGCGGTCGCCATTTTGGATTCCTCCGAAAAAAGGGGGGGAAAGTTTTTTCTTCATTCCCTTGCCTTCTGGGGGTTGTTAAAATTAATTTCAACCCCGAAGACAGCGCGTGGGCATCCTTAAGCTGGTGGCTGCACTTTGAAGCCTGAGCTCCGTTTTGTGACCGGGCCTGGTCGGAAAGGCTTGTGGCCGCCATTTTGGATTCCTCTGCGGAGCTGCCTTCGTCGGAGGATTTTCGGCCCGAAGCGCAGCTGAGCAGCTGGCTTCGAGCGAAGGGAAGGGGAGAGGTTCCTTGCTGGCCTTGTTTGCCAAAATTGCGGAGCTGAACAGGAGGAAGCTCCATTAAATTTGGGAGGTGAGCGGTTTGTGCGCCTAACGGCTGTTAGGCACAATTTTCCAAACCGCTCCCCAATTACACAGGCACATTATCCTTTGCCTTCCCTTCCTCATGAAACTTTCCTAACTTGCTCAATAGCCAAATTATACCTTTATTTCCTCCTCACCTCTCCTCCCCCATACTGACTATAAAAGGACCTCAGACGTCCGCCATTTTGGAGCACAGGGAAACGTTCCTGTTTCCCTGGGCCTAGGACGCCATCTTGTGTACATATTTTTTTGCACTTGTAAGAGCTCATAGGTATTTACCTGTACCTTTTCTCATTGAGTTCAAGTGTTCCAGAATTTATCACTCCTATTCGAGAGATCCATTCTACAAGGTGTGTTTCCTGCTCAAACAACGGTCATCACGACCTGCTCGCCACTTTGCCCATTTCTGCCCATCTGCGTCTAGTGGTTGCTTCAAGTTCCTGACCATCGCCACTATTGTGGGACATGTGTGACCTTGCCACCACTTGGTGCGCTAGGCGTGAGTTCAGGTTAACCGGTGGGCCAACTCACGCCTGTCCACGTGCAGTCAGTCCCTTTTTCAGGAGGGCCTCCTGACGTCCCTTGCAGACCAGGTCAGTCCCAGGGTCACCTGGGGCTGCATCTTGATGAGTATGGCAGAAACCACTGAGCCACCGCCTTCGGACATGGACACTCCATCTGGGCAAGCTGAACCACCACCTGAAGTACCCAGAGGTAAGGCCAAGGCCAAATCGAAATATGGCAAGAAGGCCGGCAAGGCAAGCGAGAGGCAGGCCGACCGTACTCACAGGGCCCTGGAGAAGCAAGCTGTATTCCAGGCCATGGCGGCAGTGGGCCAACAACAGGCGTTCCCGGTTCCAGGGTCATCTGTTCCGGCTACCTCTACTCGACCTCCACTGGACAGGTCAGGCATGGTTTCCCCTTCCCATTCTCCTGACTCCGACTCATCTCAAATGTCGGAATATGAGGGCGGTAAGGATGGTTGGTCGGATTGTGAGGAACCTACCCATGAGTCACAACCCATGGCAGAACTCTTCAATGCCTCACTATTCCCTTCATTGTTACGTAGGGCCTGTACCACAGGCAAACTTTCCTCCCATCCGGCTCCAACCCCTCAACCCTCATCCGAACAGGACACCAATCCCTTGTTTGCACTACCTGTAGCTGAACACCTGCAAATTCCCTGTCCCCTTTTGTTCCTCAGGAATATTCAAGGGCAGTGGGAATCACCAGCTGCTCAACCATCCCAGGGACCGGCTGAGCGCAAGATAGTGGATGTAGCCAAAGATCTGACGGATCTGTTGGAGGTACCAAAGGTAGATCAGTCACTGGCCCCGCTCTTTTCGTCCGTCAGCCTCCCGGCAGATGTCTCAGATGCCCTTAAGGCGGAAGATAAAAAATCAGAAATGGCATTCCGCAAGGTCCATTTGGCATCTGTATGGGCTACTAAGGCGGCCACTGCCACCTCCTTTTTTGCCAGAATCTCAATTTCCTGGCTTCGTCAGTTGCAGGACAGAATCCCATTGGAGGAGGTCAGAATCCATCAGGATTTGACCAAACTCATCGCTGCATCCGAATATATGGCGGATGTCTCCCTGTATTCGGCCAAGCATTCAGCCCGAGCCATAGCTTCCAGCGTAGTGGCTAGGAGGCTTTTATGGCTCAAAACTTGGAAAGCCGAGAGTAAACATAAGTGGCGTGCAGCCACCGCCCCCTTCACCGGGGGCAAATTATTCAAGGAGGCTCTAACGCCATATCTCATAGAGAACAAACAGAAACAAAAAATCATTTCCCATTTGACACGTAGGACCAGCAGACGTTTCCTCCCTTACGGTCGCAGGCAGTCCTTTCGGACTGGAATCGTATTGGAGCCAGCGCAGCCTTACCGGCCCCCAGCCCCAAGGCAACAGCGTTCTTTTGACAGAACAAGCTACAGGGACCGGTCAAGGTACCAGCCCCAAAACAAGCAGCCCTTTCGTGGCAGAGGGGGTCGCCCCTTCCATCGCAATAAGTGACTCGGAGGGGACCCCCCCCATTGGCGGCAGACTTACTCACTTTATCCGCCAATGGGAGGACACGACCACAGACTCCTGGGTTCTGTGTACCATATCAGAAGGCCTGTCCCTGGAGTTCAGATCCATGCCACGGAATCACTTTGTGTCTTGCCCAGCCATGAGAAACTCCGTAAAAAGAGGACTCATGGAAGACGCCATTCAACATTTACTTTCTATCAGGGCTATAGAGGAGGTTCCCCTCGACCAAGTGGGTCGGGGCTATTATTCCATCCTATTTGTAGTTCCAAAGTCTTCAGGGGGATGGAGGGCCATCCTTGATCTCAAAGGACTGAATCTCCACCTCCATTACAGGAGGTTCAAAATGCAGACGTTACCAGTCCATCCTAGCCAGCATAAGACGAGGGGATCTTTTGACCTCCATAGGTCTAAAGGAGGCATACCTTCACATCCCTATTCTCCCGGACCATCGCAGATACCTGCGTTTCTGTTACCTCAACCGCCACTTTCAGTACAGGGCCCTTCCCTTCGGCCTATCCTCAGCACCCAGGGTCTTCACCAAGATCCTAGCGGTGCTGGCTGCTCATTTAAGGCTACTCCCTGTACGCGTCCAGTGCTATCTGGACGACATACTGATCCAGTCTCTATCCACCTCAAAGGCTCAATCGGACCTGGCTCTCACGATAAACACCATACAGAACCACAGGTTCTTGATAAATTTCAAAAAGAGCCAGTTGCGTCCCTCTACCCGCCTCCTACATCTGGGCGCGGTGATAGACACGGACACTTGTCACGTGTTCCTATCAGAGGAACGACGCAAGAGCATCAGGGATCTGGCACTCAAAGTACGCAACAGCAGGACCGTGTCACTAGCCACGCTTTCTCAGCTTCTGGGGAAGCTCATATCTTGTATTGCAATAGTACCGTGGGCCCGGTTACACGCACGGGACCTTCAATGGTTCTTACTCCCGTACCAGAGAGAGCACACCAGCACGTCCAACCAATTGGGGCGAGTTCCTCATCAGGTACATCTCTCTCTCGGCTGGTGGGTCTCTTCGGCCATGCTCAAGGGGACTCTCTTCAAAGAGCCCAGTCAGGTCACAGTGACCACAGATGCAAGTCTCTTCGGTTGGGGAGCACATCTCCAGTCCCAGATGGCTCAAGGTCAGTGGTCACAGACAAACCTCCGGCACAGCATAAACTGGCTGGAGCTCAGAGCGATTCACCTAGCTCTCAGGCACTTTCGTGCATCACTCAAAGGGAAACATGTATTAGTCCTAACGGACAACGTGGCTGCAAAAGCCCACGTGAATCGCCAGGGGGGCACCTGGTCCAAGTCCCTCATGACGGAGGCTCGAGCTCTGAACTCCTGGGCAGAGAAACACCTGCTTTCCATCAGGGCCGAACACATCTCAGGGGAGGCCAACAGGCAGGCAGACTTCCTCAGCAGGGAGCTAGTGGATCACTCGGAATGGATGTTACATCCAGATGTCTTCCGAGCGCTATCGGACAGATTTGGTCGTCCGATGGTGGACATGTTTGCCACACCAGGGAACACCCAACTGCCCAGATTCTTCTCTCGGTTCCCCTCCCGGGGGGCAGAGGGGGTGGATGCCCTATGCAGCCGGTGGCCGCAAGGCCTGTTGTACGCCTTTTCCCCTCTGCCTCTGCTTCCAGCAGTTATCAGGAAGATCCTGCAGGAGAGGGCGGAAGTGATAGTCGTAGCTCCCCACTGGCCCAGAAGGCCTTGGTTTGCAGACTTGGTGAGCCTCTCAGTCTCCACCACGTGGAGGATCCCCGACGGCCGAATACGCTTGACCACAGGGGGATCTTCAACATCCAGACCCCCAATGGCTTCAATTGACCGTTTGGCATTTGAACGCCGCGCCCTGACCAGGGAGTCGTATTCGGCAGAGGTGATAGATATGATCCAAGCGGCCAGAAGACCGTCGACTAATCGCCTTTATGATCATACATGGAAGGACTTTTGTCGCTGGTGCGACAGGAATCACGTGAGTCTGTCTCAAGTAACCATTCCCAGAGTGCTGGAGTATTTGATGGAGGGCGTCAAAAAAGGGTTAGCGCCCAACACTGTTCGCAGACAGTTAGCAGCACTTTCCTCAGTGCTCTCTTGGGATTCCTCAGAATCCTTGTCCAGGCACCCCAAAGTCCGGTCTTTCCTTAAAGGAGTCACCAATAGTAGGCCTCCTGTTGTTCACAGATACCCTTCCTGGAGTTTGCCTCGGGTCCTTCAGGCTTTGACTTCACCCCCCTTTGAACCTCTCAAAACGTGTTCTTTACGACACTTGTCTCTCAAGGTCTCCTTCCTGATTGTGATCACTTCAGCCAGGCGCATTTCAGAATTAGCTGCCTTGTCGGTCAGGAAGGACCTGTGCACGTTTTATGAGGACAGGGTGGTTCTTCGCCTGGACCCTTCATTTATCCCAAAAGTCAAACTGTTTTTCATAGGGCTCAAGAAGTCATACTTCCGGACTTTTGCCCTCACCCGTCACATGACAGGGAATGGCAGTGGCACACGCTCGATGTTCGGAGAGCCTTGCGATGCTACATTAAGCGTACGGCTCCTTTCCGTAAATCGGAAGCTTTGTTTGTTTCCTTTCAGCCTTCGTCTATTGGCCAGAAGGCGTCAGCTTCCACCATAGGTAGATGGATTAGGGCTTGTATCGCCAGCGCCTATGTCTCTCTGGCCCTGCCTGTTCCCTCTCGCGTGATGGCTCACTCTACCCGCAGTGCGGCTACTTCTGCGGCATGGGCTACCCAGGCTTCTATTGAAGACATTTGTAGGGCGGTGACATGGTCGTCACCTTCGCCTTTCATTAGGCATTACCGCTTGGACAAATTTGCGTCGGCCGAAGCTGCCTTCGGTAGACGTATTTTGCAACAAGTGGTCACACCGTCTGGGGACCCGGCCATACCTGACTCCCACCCATAGGGACTCCGGGAGCTTTGGTAAGTCCCATTGGTGGATTCTTCCGCAATCATGTTGGAGAACAAGCATTGGCTTACCTGAACGCCTTTTCTCAACATGATGAGGAAGAATCCACGCCCTAGCCAGTTAGGTCCGGGTTGGATTTTTCTTTATTACCTGCTCGAGAGTCATCACGTCACAGTATTGTCATTGGCTCCGCCGTCCATGAAAACTGGGAAGTCCCAGACAAGGAGGCGGCGTGACAACTTGACAACTTGGTCTGATTGGGCAGTAGGACTGAAATAACCCATTGGTGGATTCTTCCTCATCATGTTGAGAAAAGGCGTTCAGGTAAGCCAACGCTTGTTCAGTTCTTTTAAACATGTTTTTTAGGTATGTCCAGAAACCAATCAGGTCATCATCAATATTGGACTCTTGCTGCTAGCATTTCCTTCTCCAGATGAAGAGGGACAGCTCAGGTGAGTCCAGTCCCAAGCTAGACAATTCTTTGGATTTGTTTCCAGGATTGTATGGCTACTGCACAAGCCTTCCTGCAGCAGCATTGCAATCCTGCAAAAAGGCACAAGTGCTTCTGCATATTCTGAAGAACTGATCAAATCTGAAGGTCTGTAGTTCTATCAGAAATTTAAAATATTATATCCCAGATATTAAAATATATTCTCAAAATGTTTGGAGATAATGTATGCTATCTATATTAGCAAAGAATCTCTTTGGAGCAACTGTATAAGATTGGAAAAATGTTGATATAAGTAGGTGTATTATTTGTCTGTGTTTACTGAATGGGTAGTCTAATCATTCTTGTCATCTGCAGACCAAAGACATATCACACCAGCCTCAAAGTGGCATGGGATCTGAATACTGGCATCTTTGTCACTGTCAGTGTAGGTGATCTCACAGAAGTCAAAGGACAGACCAGGTAAAACAGGGTTGATGTCAGGATCTAGTTATATTTCCTTTCTATCTATCTCCTCTGATGTAAAACCAATTCTTACCCTTTCCTGGGTCCTGCCATAATCCCAAGGGGGAGGGGGGATATGCAGGATTTTTTTTATTACTTTCACTTCCTCTATTCACCACAAAGTAACCTTTTGTTTATTCGCTTGAGGATCTGCTAACCATCACAATGTAACCATTTGCCTTTCATCCTATGCTCCTCTGAACTTCTTCTCCTTTACTGGCCAACTAGGAAAAAGGGTGTGTGTGTGTGAAAAGATACAGCCTCCTCCATCATCAAAATAAGGTGTGAGGAGCTGTTGCATGATCGTGTACAACGGAGCCGGATTGATATTATCTTTCCTGGATTTAACATCTAGAAATCTGCTAGTCTACATCGCACGGAAGAACTGCGGGGTGGGGGTTGCTTAGGGACACTTTAAAACATCGATTTGTGAGGGAATCCCTCAGATTCTATTATTCCCCCTATCAATTCCTCTTAATACAAGTTCCTATTGGAAGAGATTGTTTCCAAGAGTTCTGCTTTCTTAAGATGTGGATTGAAGTGATTCCTTACAGTTGACCTAGTACTTTTCGGGGGAGGGGGTATATTTATCCTTGAATTATTTTTTTTACCATTTTTCTATTGTAACCTTTCTAATGAAAATCAGCCCTTCAACTCTCTCTTTCCTCTGACATATTTTCCTTTCTGCAAAGATTTTCAAAATGTACCATTCCATGTCTCCTGATGGAAGTGAATGGTGACCATTATTATATAGTGGCAAATTAAAGGAACATAGGGAATAATCTGCCATTTGTTCTGATGATCTTACATCGAGGGCAAGTTGTTTAGTATTTTTCCATGATACTAAATGCTGTATCAAAATTATCCATATGTGAACTCTGGGCTTGCTAACTAATCCTAGTTCCTGCCTCTCAGTGGCAGTGTATGGAGCTCCTACCGGAAAAGCTGTGTGGATATGGTAATGAAGTGGCTTGTACCAGAGAGCAGTGTTCGCTATGTCAACAGAATGACCAATGAAGCCCTTCACAAAGGTATTTTCTGTCTTGTGAAAGTTTTATTACTCAGTGGATTCAGTTGGCTGACCAATATTGAGATAATAGCCAGTTTTCAATCAAAGAAATGTTTGATGCTTTCTGTCTCTGACATTATGAAAAAAAATTAGGATACTTTTTCTAGAATATTTGTAATGTTAAACACTAGAGAGATCTGTCCTGATTCTGGGTTTTTGGAGATTTTATTTAATATCTTTGATTGATCATGGCCCATGAAGTGGTAGCAGTTAATTACTATCTTAGTTTCTGGTTTCAGATATCAGAGTTCTGGAAATTCCATCCAAGATGACTTTATAATATAGTTAGTTTTGGAGAGACTTTCATTGCAAGGACACTAATTCTTGGCTAACTCTTTTTTTTTTCTTTGTAACTACAGGTTGCTCGTTAAAATTCCTAGCAGACAATGAGCGCTACACATGGATTGTCTTATGAAATCTGATTCAGAAGCAAAACTCACATCAATTGTTCATTTTTTGCCATAACTGTATATGTCCAATTCAACTACCTCTTTGTTAAACATTTTTAATTTTTCCCTTTCTTTAGAGTAAATGTTGCCCAGATGATCTTGGAAGCATTAGATTTTGTGAATAGAATCACCTCCTCTACTTTCTTGTTGCTCTGGGGGGGGGGGTATGTGAAGAAGCGAGGTTGCTTGAGATTCTGAAAAACAAACTTTTCCTTGCAGACTAGGATTATTGTTTGCGATGGCTCAACTTCAACTGATTTAGAAAAAGCAAAAATTAGCTATTTAACCTTCTATAGTAATCTGTATTTGGTGAAGCTACAAAGAATAGGTGGGAATATCCTGTAAGATTTGACTCCCTCTAATGCAAGAACAAATTATTCCAAGGCAACAATATTGTTTAAGGAGACCAAATTCCTTTCTTCTTTCAGTGTCATTTTGTACTTGTTATTTTGTCTATTTTTTTTCTTCCTAAATGTAAATGCCATCCCACCTCACATACCTAGTGGACTGATTACAAATGTTTTCTCTCTTTTCTCTCCAGCAGGTCTTATTTCCTGCAATAAATATTTTAAACAGACTAACTCTTGTTGCTTCTTTTCTTTGATGAAAAACTTAATTGGAATTACAGCATCGCAACTGAGAATTTTCACACAGGTTGACATTAAGGGTTTACTATCTGGAAAGTGTGTGCAAATTTAAGATACTTACTGCTTGCTATATAAGAACATTCCATAATTCACATTGGTTATCATAATATATTCTTTTTTTCATGGGTCCCTAGGTGATTTGTCCTTGATTAGATTTGCCCAGTTTGAGCAAGGGGTTTCTGAATTGTGTGATTTCAGATTGTGTAAATAAATATAATTATAAATATTTTCTCATAATATCCAAGATAATGTTGTCTTAAAAGATGGGAGGATAATTAAAATTCAGGATGGGTGTGAAAGGAAGCATAATTTCCCTTTCACTGGCAGCCTTCACTTTGAATCAGAGGTAATAGTCCTCATGAATAGAATTCATATATTAGCAAAAAATACCACAATAGCAATAGTACTTAGATTTATATACTGCTTCACAGTGCTTTACAGCCCCCTCTAAGCAGTTTACAGGGTCAGCATATTGCCCCCAACAAATTACTATAGTAATTTCAGGCCCTAAGAAGTTTAAGTGTGTTTCACTTTACAGTTATTATGAATAGCAGCCTTTTTATATAATTCCAATAGAAACATACTTGCCTGAAAGCCTCTGATTTAAAAAAAAAATTGCAAAAACTATACAACAACTGAGAAATAGCAAAAGGAAGCCAAATGGCATCTGATTGTCTCAGAAAAAAAATCCTTTAAGGCTATGCTCATTCCATTTGAAGTAGCTATGTAAAACATCAATTGTATTCATCCTATTTAAGTAGCTCTGCTGGGATGGGGCACCAGGAGATGAATTTTTGAACATGACTTCAGATGTGAAATGGATTTATTCCTTCTTGCTATTTGTTGCCTCTCTAAATTGTATGAAGGGTGGAATATAGCTCTGACCCTTAGATCTGCAGTTCCCAAACCCTGTAGTATGGCACTACAGCAAACTCGCAGGGCAGCATAAGATACTTAATAAATGGAACTGTTAGGGAGCTTGCTACAGCATCCAGAGCACTGTGAACCAGGAAAGTTTGGGAACATCCAAAAGTTCATCCAAGTGATAGAACCTATGTTGGGATTGCCAAGCAGATTCCAATTTTGCACACAAGGGCTGAAATGTGAACTCATTTTTGCAATAGTAAGCAAGCAGCATCCTAGGCAAAGAACACGGCTGAATTTATTTCTTAAGAAAGAACTACAAAAGGTAGAAAACAGCTGTTGCACTCTAGACTACACACACATACATCATCTGACCACAGGCACTGCCCATCTCATGGACCCAGGACACCTACAAAGCTCTTCAGACTCCACTTGAAGTCTATAGAACAGCTAAAGCTGCTGCTGTTGCCGCCGCACAAAAGATTGACACAAAATATAAATTTTTGTACAATATGTAGATTTTGCAATAAACATCTATATCACAGGTTTAAAACACTGGAAAAATTGAACAAATAAGGCCATGATGGTTGAAAAACCCAAAAATATCAAGTAATTTATCTTCACCAATCTCACAATATTTAGGTGGTTTATAGAACAAGAATTAGTTATTACATAGAAAAGCACAGATATTTTTGTTTAAAACTAGAATATCTAATATTCAGTTACAAACCAGAAAAGTGATTACTTTCATTAGAGTAGCAAGTAATCAGATCTGTTTGCTTAGTTACTAGCACAGAGAAGGAACTGGACTGGTTTGTGTGGGCTATTAAATAGACTCGGCAAGTATTTCTGACTTGGCTTTGCTAGCAACTGTTCCTAGCTGCTCTGCAGCCAATTTTCTTAGTGAATGGAGATAATCCTCGTTCAGAGGGAAAGGATTTTGTTGTGTAAGGCAGCAACTGAATACAAAGGTAAGCTTATTCATGTTGTTGGTCTTGTGTGAGTGGTGGATCCAGCATTATGCAGTTTATAGAGAGGGAATATCTAGCTCACAGAAGCAAGATTTTTGCAAACAACTAGATCCATTTTCTTTACCAGAATTGGGACTGTCATAAAGCTAAATGTCAATCTGCATATATTTCAGAGAGCAAGGATTGGGGAAACGTTGGAACAGAGGAATCTATTTCTCAAAACCCGATTAGTGCTTGTCCTTGTAGATATCATTGGTTATACTGTTGGAGCACAAAACATACTATTTCACTGATGGATATACTCATACATCCAACAAACCAAGGTATGCACACGTCCAGAACAACAGAGTTGAAATTTTAGGTTTGCCACAAGAAACGTAACTGTAGAAACCATGGATACTACCCGCTGCTTTGCTACAAATTGTTTATGAAAATGATAGTTCAGCCAGATAGGGGAATTAAGGTGCTTCTCGGAAAGACTGGGTTCTTATGCTAGGGGGTATTTATTGGCCCTGGCACCTCTAGTAAAGGCAGGGAAGGGAGAATTTTTCTATCTCACTTCCATCTTGCAAATATTATCTAGGCTGTAATTCAAAACTAAGAGGTCCTTTTGTACAAAAAGATTCCTTGAAGGCAGCATTTTGCTTCTGGAGCAAAGCAAAAAGGTCCAAACGTGTGTTTTCCCTCTATTCCCTTTCAAGATTGTGCCGCTTTACAACTTGGGCTACTATGTTAAAGACAGCTTTGCGCTAGAAATAGCTTTGTTAGACTTACATATTTAAGAGGGACTACAAGGTAATAAGTTTATGTTCAGTGCCTGAAACACATTTGATTTGCTGTAGCAAAAGAAGTTGGACAGAAAATAACTTCATGAGTAGAATCCAAAAGAATCCTGGTGTTCTAATGTCACGTGCGGCTAAGGAAGCGACATTTGTTTCATTGGAGCTTATCCTGGACTGGAAGCAGTTGGAGCAGCTGCTTGCATATTTAACTGAAGATGGAAATAAAGACACTTAAAAAATGGGTTTCTTTCATTATGACTTCCACTGTGAAGAGGTGTCCTAAGGAGGAATAGCAACTAGAGGCCTTTTGCATGCAGCACATAGTCTTCATAGGCTTATTTTCTTGCTCAGGGAATTTAGATTAACTCAGGCTGATAGCTAATTTCTGGTTTATCAGACTGAGTGTTTTACATGGAAGCTTGGCCTAAATGTGTAGCATGTAGACATGGGCTAAAACCTAAGATACTGTTTTTACTCGCTTACTCCTCCCATCAGTATCATTTAAAAGCCTACAGATTTTTCTTTTGACAGTCATAGCTAAAAGACTTCTGCAAGGGAATATTACAGTAGTATCATTAATTTGGATTCAAGGATCAGTGGCTATTAGTGCTTAAATATGTTCTCTAGAAAGCACACAATCACCAAATTATTTTCACAGAGATGCATATACTTAATTTACATAATTTTTAAGATTTAGTAAAAAAGTGAAGAATGGCACTGTAGTAATTTTGCTCAGCTGCAAAATAAAATAGCATTTGCTGCTAATGGAACCCAAGTCTTCATGCTTAATTCTAAACAGCTGTAAAGTAAAAACAGTTTTGGTTGGTAAACTATGAATACAGTTGACTTATATGACCATTTGTGTTATCCCCTCACAAATAGGAAGGTAATCTGCATTGCTGATCTTTGCTTATGGTTTTGTATTTATACCCCTATTATTTTCTGGTCTATTTAGCTTCCTATTTCTCAGCAGGTTGGTAATGATTTTGTGTATCATTTCAACCAGTGTAGTTTCTGTTGCATTCTCTGTTCTAGTTATTCTGCAATAAGGTAATGGTGGGCTAATAGAAGTTTAGGTTGAGTTGAGTAAGCACCCTGTTCCATAGTTGTGTAGATTCAGCAGTTCCTATACCCACTTACTAGCTTATTCCTGTGTAGCAGGCAATCTTTGGACTACAAGCACTTGAAAAAGAATTAACCCCTTCCAATCACCAGCACTGTAATGGCCTTAAGAAGGCAATAGTGGAGTGAATGTTTCTAAACACTGTTTCTTGGTCAATAGAAGGGCAGCCCCAGCATCTGCCAAGGCTAAGTGTATTTTTAGTGCCACTAGCTTTACAAAGTAAGGCTTGAAAAATAAAAGGTATTAGCAAAACAGGTTGAGTTAGTTATGTTTGATGTGCTAGCAGAGTTCAAAAATGGCTTACTTAGGCTGGCTTCATGCTAATACCATGGGATTTCCTGACATGTCTCAGATAATATCAGAATCTGGCTAAAAGTTGCAAGTGTATCACAATAATCAGGAGAACACCAAAAGTCTGAAAGCTGCATACAAAAACTGTATTCAGGGATGATAACGCATATGAATGGAACGCTACTCCTGCTTGCCACCTTGCTCCCCAAAAGTAGGGAAAAGTAGAAGCAGAAAGATCTTGCAGCAGAACTTCAAGTGTACATTAAGCATCTATAAATTTAGAAATATTTAATACGAGGCTGATTTTTTTAACGTAACAGTGGGCTTGGGATGAATTGTCCAAGAGAAATTAGCACTGGACAATCTAAGCAGCTGAAGAATTAGAATGAGCTCTATTAGAAAATCTAGAGTGGCAGACACAATTTCAAGACGTATCAATTGAAACCATGATGCTGAAATCTTTTTTCCTCTTAAAAGAAAATGTAACTAGCTAGAATCTTGCTGGATCAGAAAGATAGATATAGCAGATGGCACTTGTCCTAGTAATGATCATTACGTATACATCTATGGCAAACCCAACTTGGATACAATTACAGCTGCAGAGTGCACGCTGCCCTATTCCAAATAACATTGCACCATTGAATAGCTGAAAGCCCAGTTGCATATACTGCACTGAGAAAATCCTCTTATAAATTCAGCCACTGCCACAGAAAGCTTCAAGAAGTCAATGCTGATTATTACACAGAAACTTCCACTCAAGCTGGAATAATTCTTGCAAATTCCTGCCCTATACCCAAGCATTGACCATCACTCTCCAAGCTTCTGGAAATCCAAACTCTTGTGTCCAGCAGCCTTGAGTAGTATAAGACAGATGCTCAGCATCAAGGAACAGGCAGACACAAGGAGTTTCCCACAATATAATGACATTCAACCTGATCCAACTAGTGGACGGAATGACTCACCAAGAATCAGTTTCAATGGCTCAACTAACTCAGGTGTGCCAGAGACTCTGCATATCATACTTCTGCCAAGAGGCAGAAAAGGCTAGGCCCTTGGTAAACCTGGGCCAATTTTATAATCCAAAAGCATGGGTTTTATGCATTCCCAGCAGCATAATCTGGGACCATGCTTGGTCAAGCACATAAATTCCCTTCAAAAACCAGCCAAGGGTGTAGGGGTCATGGTTTAAGCCAGTTTCAGATTACCTATGGTAATCAAGGAGGCAGTCAAAAAAAGAAACTGACCCAATCAGTGAAACCATGATCAGCCCACTAACCAAGCACTCCTCCCCCACAGTGCTTACCAGGTATTAGGCAGGCTTTTAGGGGGAGTGTTGCTGTGATCTTACTTGGTTTATATTGGGTACAGGTAGGCCAGGGAAGGGGATGAAATGAAAGCGCATTGCATACCACTCGGAGACAGGGAACAGCACATCTTTATCGCAGGGCAGCACAACGCAGTGCAAGATGCACCCTGACTTCCTGCTGGACACTTAGTAGTCAGTCCCTCCTTTATTTCTCTTTAACTGGAGGGCAGTGCTTGCACAAAGATGCCCCGTGAATCTGTCCGTGCCAGTTTCGAGGGTGGCTCCATAGGCTCGGCTGTTAGGCTGCTGGATTCATTGGAGCTAAGAGACAATTCTTGTGGCATCTCCTCATCGCTCTCCTCCTCTTCTTCCTCTTCTTCATCTAATTCAAAAGAAAAAGCAGTTACATCAATTGGAGGCACAAAGCCAAGTTAGGCCCTGAGCACTGAGGCACTGAGGCACTGAAGCTTTATTTTCTTAGAAGTTGTCCATTACCAAGCAATCACTTCAAAACTCTAAGTATTCCTTCAGTGGCTCATTCCTGTAGAGGGAAACCCCTGAATATGTAATACCAGGGGTAAAATTAGCCATTCCATGCTCACTACATTTTGGAATCAGAAGGCAAAAAGTACTAAGACTTTTGTCTAAATTAAGGGCCAGTCAACATTTTGACTTGCTGACTACTCAACAATCTCTTTGCCACAGAATGGGCTAAGAGAGTAAACTCCTGTATTGTACTGGACTCTGTTTTATTTTGGATTTTTTTGTTCCTGCTCCCCTCTCTTGCATTATAGTACAATAATAACATAGCATTTAATATTTACAAAACTTTTATGCAAAATTATTACTTTTGCAAATTAATCAAAGCACAGTAAATCACAAAAATGCATTTTCACTAATACAATATCTTTAATAGAAACAATTTACGCTAATGTGTCTAGATTTCATATTAATAAGTCATAAAAATATAAACAGTGAAATATGAATGGATGTTAATTTTAACATTTATTTTCTAATTTTCATTAAAGGATTTGTTACTTTAGCTTAAGATTCTTCTGCCTATCATAATTCTCTGATTTTTAATAATTATGCTACTTTAACAAACAATTATGCTACTTTAAAAAACAATAATTAATTTCTATATTATCATAATCAATATGTTAGTCAATACCTCAGAAGTCTTCTTCCTACTAGTATACATTCAATGTTACATAACTCGCTTTTCTAGCCATTGATAAAAATTATCGCATGTTCTAAAGCAGGGCTTTTCAACCTTTTCACCTATTGTACCACTTTTAGGATATGGCAACATCCGAGTACCACCAGTCGCCTAGCAAGGTGTCAAAAACTTGACCAAAAAAAGAGGAAAAAAGTGATAAAGTACAGGTAGTCCTCGACTTACAACAGTTCGCTTAGTGACTGTTCGAAGTTACAATGGTACTGAAAAAAGTGCCCCCCAAGCCACAGCAGAGCAAGACCCCTGCCTGCCCACCCGGCTGCGCTCTTCCTCCTGTCCGAGGTTTTTATTGATGTGAGCATTTCTGTTGAGGATTGGCTGTGGGGGTGGGATGGGAGGGTGTTTGGTTTTTATTCCCCCCGTCTGCTGGGTGGTTGCATCAGGTTTTGGTCACTTCACATGACCCTGGGACACTGTGACCGTCATAAATATGAATCAGTTGCCAAGTATCTGAATGTAAATCACAAGACCCTGGAGATGCTGCAACATTCCAGCTGATCGGCGCTTCTTCTGGGCTCAGCAGAAGCACCAGGGTCAGTGCTGCTTTCCAGCTGTCGGCGCTTCTACAGGGCTCAGCAAAAGCACCAGGATCAGCGCCGAGCTCCAGCTGGAGTCTGTCGCTGATCCTGGCACTTCCACTGAGCCCTGACAGTCCTGAAGAAGCGCTGATCAGCTGGAAAGCGGCACTGATCCTGGGGCTTCCGCTGAGTCCTGACAGCCCTGCAGCTCCAGCCATCTCTCGCTCAGGCTTGTGCAGTGCTGCTACTGGTTCAACTCATTCCCCTCCCACACTACCATTCTTTTAGGATGGTCGCGTACCACCTGCCAGGTGCCAATGTACCACAGGTGGTACCCGTACCACTGGTTGAAAAGCCCTGTGTATACTGAGTCTTCTTTCTCTTTTATCTTTAATGTCAATCTGTCCGTTTCTGCACAATCTAAAACTTTCTTAATTAGTTCTTCTTCCATTGGTAAATTTTCATTTTTCCAATATTGGGCAAATACGATTCTTACTGCAGTTAATACATGTAGAATTAAGTATATACAATCTTTCTCATAGTTCCCTCCTATTATGCCTAACAGAAATAGTTCTGGCTTAAACTCTATATGTTTTTTAGTCATTTTCTCCAACCAAATATGTATTTTTGACCAAACTTTTAGCTTTAGTGCATGACCACCAGATATCGTAATAAATATCTGGTTTTTGTTTACATTTCCAACACTTGTTTGATGTATTTTTAAGCATTTTCGCTAATCTCACTGGTGTTAAATGCCATCTATAAAACATTTTATATAAGTTTTCTTTATAAGCCACCACTTTCATTAATTTAGTGTTTCTTTCCCATAAACTTTGCCAGTTTTCTAATTCTATATTATGTCCAACGTTCTTCGCCCATATTATCATTGTTTCTTGTTCCTCTTCCATCTTTAAGCTTAACTAATATTTGTAGAGTTCCTTAATCAATTTTTCATCTGTTTTTAACAATATCTGGTCAAATTCTGTCTGTTTTTTATAAAATCCCGTTGTTTTAGCATCTTTTTCATATCTCGTTTGAATTTGCAGGTATGGCCACCATGATAAATCAATACCTTGTTCTTGTAAATCTTGTCTATCTTTCAGTTTCCCTTCATTGTCCAAAATATTTTTATAGGTCACAACTTTCTCGTAGTTAATTAAATTTGGGTAAGCGAATGCTTCCATTGTTGAAAGCCATCCAGGTATTTTAATATAGATTTTCGCTTTTATTTTCTCCCATTCTAAAAGAAGTGCATTTCTTATAAAGGGATTTTGAAAGTATTTATGTATTTTATTCTTCCCATACCACAGAAAGGCATGCCATCCAAGTTGTAGGTCATGCCCCTCTAGATATAACAGTCTTTTATATCTAAGCATTATCCACTCTTTTAGCCATGTTAGTATAGTTGCTTGGTAGTATAGCGTCCAATCCGGCAGTCCAAATCCTCCACTTTCTTTCGCTTCTTGTAACATTTTCAGTCTAATTCTGGCTTTTTTTCCTTGCCAGATAAGTTTCAGTATTGTTGTATTTAGTTCATCAAAAAAGGTTTTTCACAGTCTTAAAGGTATCGTTTGAAATAAAAAGAGTATTTTTGGTAAGATATTCGTTTTCATTGTTGCTATTCTCCCCAGCATTGAGAGTTGTAAATTTTTCCACTTTTCCAGATCCAGTTTTATTTGTTTTAACAATCTTACATAGTTGTCTTCTTTTATTGTTGCACATCTTGCTGTTAAATAAATTCCCAAGTATTTAACTTTTTTGACTATTTGAAGGTTTGTTTTTGATAAATTGTTTTAATTATGTTTATAAAGTTTTCCAAAGTTCAGTTCCTCTAATTGCTGGAACATAAATTGCCAGTTTACGTTATTGAACGCTTTCTGTGCATCTAGAAATATTAGAGCCATCTGTTTCCCTGGATGAATTTCATAGTACTCTAAAACAGGGCTTTTCAACCAGTGGTACAGGTACCACCTGTGGTACATTGGCACCTTGCAGGTGGTACATGACCATCCTAGAAAAGTGGTAGCGGGGGAGGGGAATGAGCTGAATCGGTGGCAGCACCGCACAAGCCTGAGAAAGAGATGGCTAGAGCTGCAGGGCTGTCAGGGCTCAACGGAAGCGCCAGGATCAGCGCCAGGCTCCAACTGGAGCTCGGCGCTGATCCTGGCGCTTCTGCTGAGCTTAGAAGAAGCACCAATCATCTGGAATGTTGCAGCATCTCCAGGGTCTTGTGATTTACATTCAGATGCTTGGCAACTGATTCATATTTATGACGTTCACAGTGTCCCAGGGTCATGTGAAGTGATCAAAACCTACTGCAACCACCCAGCAGACGGGGGGAATAAAAACCAAACACCCCCCCACCCCACCCCCACTGCCAATCCTCAACAGAAATGCTCAGAACAATGAAAACCTCGGACAGGAGGAAGAGCACCGCCGGGTGGGCAGGCAGGTGTCTTGCTCGGCTGTGGCTTGGGGGGCACTTTTTTCAGTGCCATTGTAACTTTGAACAGTCACTAAGCGAACTGTTGAAAGCCAAGGACTACCTGTACTTTATCACTTTCCCCCCTTTTTTGGGGGTCATCAAGTTTTTGACACCTTGCTAGGCGACTGGTGGTACTCGGATTTTGCCATATCCTAAAAGTGATACAATGGGTGAAAAGGTTGAAAAGCCCTGCTCTAAAACATCTAGGATCATTCTTAAGTTATTTTTTATTTGTCTTTTAGGGAGAAAGCCATTTTGGTCTGTATGTATAAATTCGGTCAGAAATTTCTTTAGCCTTTCTCCTATTATTGAGGCGAAAATTTTATAATCTACATTTAATAACAATATTGGTCTGTAATTTTTTATTTGTGTCAAATCAGAATCTTCTTTGGGTATTAAAGTGATGTTATCTTCAGTCCATGTATTTGGTATTTTAGCCTCCAAAAATATTTCATTACACACTTCTTTCAATATTGGGCTCAGTATATCTTGTAATGATTTGTAGAGCTCTGCAGGTAATCCATCTAGGCCCGGTGTCTTGTCATTTTTTTGCCTTTTTTATCATTGATATTCTTCCATTTAATATGTTTTGAATATTCTCTGGAATTTTTGGTAAGTCTGCTTTTTTTAGGTACTGCTGTGTTTTTTTTCTTTGAAATTTGCTCTGTGTTGTAAAGTATCTCATAAAAGTCTTTAATATTTTTTTTAATTGTGTCATTTTGAAACTGTAATTCACCTTTTGGATCTTGCAACTTATTTATCAGTTTTTTCGCTTTTTCTTTTTTCAGTCTTTATGCTATTGAAAATGCTTATTGGCATTTTCAAAAAAAGTTCTGTTTGGCCCTTTTAATCTGTTGAGCCATTATTTCCGCCTCTTCTAGGTTTAGTTTATGTTTTATTAGCTCCATTTGCTTTTTAAGTATTTTCTTTTGTGGGTTTATTTGTAGTTCTAATTCTAATTTTCTAAATTCTTCCTTCAACTTTAACTGTTGTTGTTTTTTTAATTCTTTTTAGCAGTGTAGGTTATAGCCAGCCCTCTGAAATATATAGCTGTGTCCCACACATTTTGAAGCTATGTCTCTTCTTTCTTATTTATTTTGGGGAAAAAAGTCCATTTCCTTTGTCCCTAGTTGTATAAATTCTTTTTCTTTCAATATGGATTTGTTCAAGGACCATCTTAACTTTTTCTTGGCTCCTCTCCAAGTCACCTTTATTGGATTATGATCTGCCCAAATATTAGTTTTTATCTCTATTTCTTGTATCATCGTGCTAAGTTCCGAGGATGTCCATATCGTATCAATTCTAGACCATGATTTATGTCTATTTGAATAAAATATATATTGCAGGTTTTTTGGATTTTTTAGATGGCAAAGTATTCTTGATATCAAAATTAAAACTTGTAATGCCACTGCTGTTTTATTACAAGCTATCATTTATTATTCTGAGTATCCTAGACTAAATCTGAATCTCTGGCTATAACAATCATATACAGTTTGTTGAATGCGCTCAATAACAATCCCTTTCCCTCCAAAACTGAATTCAAATAGATTTTTAATAAAAACAAAACTGAAAACATGTCATTTAAAGTCTTCTTAAAAGAGTGGTCTTTGCCATATAATGGGTATGCATATGAAACAGAGCCAAGCATAGTACAGCTTCTTCTTAGAGGCCTCTTGAGAAACGAAAAAGGCTGTATTTCCTAGCTCCACCCAAAATGAATAAAGGCCTCCAAGAGAGATGGCCTCACCCCTTACAGTCTTGGAGGAAGTAAGCAGGTTTGCATGGAAGGAGGCATTTCTCCAACAGCTTTGGAGCAGATAGCCTGCGTATGTCACAGGGATCCAGAACTAAAAAATGGTATTTATTCTGTTTATTCTATTGTTCCTGCTTCACCACCATTCCTTAAAAAGACCGAATGGTAACATCACTTGGGTATTACGAGCTTGAAGAAATAAGCCTCTGTTTGATGCTCCTCATTTTATACTTCTTTAATGCTTAGACAACATTCCCAGTCACACACAGCTAGGCTTTTTCCCTGTTCTCCAGAAAAATAGAAACAAGGATAATTTGTGGAAGAATGGCAATATAAATCCAACTTCCAGAAGTTCAGGGGCAGTTTTACATTACAGGTAGTCCTTGACTTACAACTATTCATTGAGTGACCATTTGAAATTACAAAGGATCTGAAAAAGTGACTTATGACCAGTTTTCAGACTTACAACTGTTACACCATCCCCAGGATGACTTGATCAAATTTAAGCACTTGGTAACTGCCATGTCTTTATGACTCTATGACTCTGTGTAAACTTAGGCTCTAAGTAAACAGACCATTGTCAGAGGGTCACGTTTGTTTTCAAGGCAAATGACCAGGAGAAAGATTAACTGAAGCAGAAATCTTTGGGAATTATTTCTAAAGATATAGGAAACCATATTTTAAGCCCTGGATGATGAGAATTTATATTATCCTTTTATGTTTGCTTTTTTAAAAAAAATTGTACATAATTGTTTTGCTTTTATTCACTAGACTGAGTAACAGGGATTAGCACTCAGGAGAACCAACGAATCTTTCACTCCAGAAGGGGAGGGGGGGTTGCAAATCCCCCAATTGTTTTATTTTTATACAAACATACGACACACACAGAAATAAAAATTGCTTACTGTTTCTCAAAACTTTGATGCCCTTACTGAAGATAGTTAACATCTCACTAGTTCCTATATGGGATAGCCAACATTTGGCAAGATGTTTATGTGATTTATTTATCCCCCAAATCCTAGCAGACAGTAGGCAGCTTACAGAATTTAAATATAAAATGGTACAAAGTCACTGTCAAAATCAATTAAATTATTACATCCTTAATCTAATTTCCAATCTAGAGATTTATAATTCATTCCAAGGGCTTTCTGGTAGAGCCATGATTTCACCTGCTTCCAAAAAAACCATGAGGACTGGGGCCATCAGTGGACAAGATACTACAGAGAGCATTGCAGGGCCTGGGGCCCGGGCTTTCAGCAGTCTCAGCCAGCTGCACTGCCCCCAGGCCTTGACTTCTGCCCCAGTGTTGCCGCTGCCACTGAGAAATGTCACCCCACGCAGGAACCATGTCCAGGAGATCCCTCAGATTGCAAGCCTACTTTTTCCAGGAGATCACAACCCTATCAAGAGTCAAAGATAGCACAATCCTGGAATCAAACGCCTCTGAATCCACAGACCCTCTGTCTTATTTGGAGTGAATCTAAGTCTGAACAGAAGCATTAAAAATACAGCTGGATCATGGTCTCTCTCTAATTTCACTTTCTGTGCTGAGTTTAAAACCACGATATCTCCCAGATATGCAGATAACCCTTAATTTCATCCTATGAGATAGACCTGTACATGGACAGCAGGAGGACTCTTTCAGCATTGTAAAGCCTTTCAGGAAATGAGGTATGAGGTAAATGCAGACCCCCACCACCACCAAAAAAAGTACGCAACACTGGAGTCTAGTATGTTTTGTATGCTACCCAAGCAGCATTCCCAAGTTTAGATGATGGCTGACATGGGTTCTAGCTATCAGTACATGAAACTCCATGAATACCTCTCTGCCATAAACTGTCTTCCTTTTTCATTCCTGGTGTCACCTTAGACAACCAACTTGTACTGGAGCAGAATCTGTTTCGGGCATAACTGCAAACATATCTAAATATGCCCCCTGTAGCTTTTTCCCCCATACAAATGGAATGAACAATATTGACTCCCATTTGTAAAGGAGGGAGTAATAATTCCAAACAATTTAACATTAAGTAAACAATTAATCTCTTAAAACAAGCCCTTAAAGTGCTGGACAGTACCTTTATCAGGGTCCAAAGGATTCAAGGAACTTGCCAGATTTGCAAACTTAAAAGGAAACAAAAAACATGGATAAGCAATGACGTTCTCTACAACGAGACAAGTTTGTGTAAGGGAGAGATGTAGGAACACATAGAGCTTATTTTGTATCCAGAATATAGTCAAATGGTTTTACCTTGATAACTTGCTGTTCCTGAATGTCCAGCACAGGAAATTCCATTGGCTATAAAGCATGAGTTAATTATATATGGTTTTCCATCTATAACTCTATTTTGGGTTTAGGAAAAAGCACAATGGAGACCCAGCCTGAGTTAACCTGGCATCCTATTAATCAAACCACTTGAAATACAGAACTACTACAAAAAATACTATCAGAACAGAAGAACTGATGCTCCTGATTATATGGAGTTTTGGTCTATATCAGCTGTACATCAAATTTATAAGGCATCTGAGTATATACAAAAACATCATATAATCAAAAATAGGGGAAAGTGTTGGAAACATTTCTTTCATTAGGATTCCCCTGCCAAGTGGATGATAATCAGAATTTGCAGAATCCTCTTTCTGCCAGCAATTCATTCTTATGTTCAATAGCCACAAGACCTACCTCTCCCATGACTGCTATAGGAGTCACACCCTTGGCCTGAGCCACACGATGTTCTATCAGGTAGTACATATATTCATCATAGAGGAGGCGGATGAGATGAAAGGAGCCAAAACTGGCTGCACTTCGCAGGGTCAAGTCTCGAATCACCATGGAGCTAGAAAGAGAAGTAGCCCAGTGCTGCACGTATCATTGAGGTAGCACACAGTTAATTATGTCACTTACAGCTTGGGCACCAAAGAGCATGTCTAACATCCGCTTCTTGCTTTCCACTTACCTGTAGAAGGACCACTTGAGGAGAAAATGTTTGGCAGCTTTGGGGAAGCTGGGGCTGCCATGGTAGGGTTTTAGGACTTGGCTGACTACACCATCCAGCCATACTGCCCACTGTTCCAGAGAGTTCTGCTGCTGCAGAGTCATTTTGAAGTCTTGTTCAAGCCGCTGCACCACACGATCCTCACACCGGCACACCCATGAGGCCTGCTCCTTTGGAGGAGCAAGGAGAAAATGTTTAAATGCAATTGCTGCTTATACACAATCTCTCTCTGCGGATAAGTCAATCTGAAGTGGCTTAAAAATTTAAAACATTGTGGAAACAGAGCAGGCAAAGTAATTTGGTACTAAGAGGCCAATGATACATCATGAGCTATTATGAAATATGTTTTCTCCATTTAAAAGATGAACCATGAAAAAGATCCGACGACTCACCAACTCTAGATTTTCTAAAATGATCTGTGGGACAGAGGATCTTTCTTCCTCTCCTCACAGAGTCCAGTCAGGCTGCCCTGTGAGGAAGAACAACTGATCCCTCTGCTCTGTAAGTCGTTTGGGCCTTTTTGAGTAGCCCCCTTCCTATTACAACTGGCCCATTACAGGAAAATTAAACATTAAGAAGAGGTGCCTGAATTATCCGTTTTTCCCTTTCCTTCTGTAATCTGTTATTCAGATTATAAACCTGGCAACATGGATGGCCTGATTTTTACTCTTCTAAAAGTTACTCAGAGAAAATTCAGGCTGAAGGGTGGTGGTATAAGCACTATAAAGAAATGATTGAGAAAACAACTTTGATAATGAGCTTGATGAGGCAAATACATTACCCAGCATGGCCAAACTAGGGCAAAACGATATAGATGGTTGGTTACCTGGACATTAGCAAAATCAACCCGGTTGAGATCACTTAGCATCTGATTAATTTGAGCTGTATTTTGTAAAACAGCCCGGGCAGCCTGGGCAAGATGGTTTAGAGAAGTGTAACGTCGCAGGGTCTGGGCAAAGGCACTTGCTGCAGCCACCTGAGAAAGAAAATCCAAATGACACAACTTTTTTCCTCACCATTCTGCTTGGTGAGAAGGAACTAAGGAGTTCAGAGAATAACTGCAAAGTAACCACAGTGGTAGCTGTGGCTAGGAGGGCCTTTCATAGCTTTGGATTGTGTCGCAGTTGCACCCATACCTGGATTGGGGGGGGGCTACTCATAATTACTCATGCTCTTGTGATATTCAGACTGGGTCACTGCAACATGCTCTTCATGGGGCTGCCCTTGAAGAGTGTTTGGAAGCTTCAGCTGATGCAGAATGTGATAGCGCAGGCAATTAATGTCTTTGGGGTTTGGGTGCATGTAATACCACTGCTCTGTGGCTTCCAGTGTGCTTCTGGTGTGATTCGAGATACTGGTAGTTATCTTTAAAGCCCTTCATGGGCTGGGGCTGTGTTACCCCAATTGTTTCTACCCATCCCACCAGTAGGACGAGGCTCTGGATGCCGTCAACTAAGGAGTGTTGGCTGGTGGGATTCAGAAGGAGGAACATTCTGCCATGGCACCCTGCCTGGAACATCATTCCACCATTAGCCCCAGTCCTGCTGGCCTTAAAATTTGATTCTGTGCCTGGGCCCTGGAAGTGTGATAAAGCCTGCTTTTTGGCTTTGCTGAGAGTTATTTATGAAGCTTACCTGCTATGTTTCTGTTTTATTTTATTATTATTACCTATTTTATTGTAAGTCACCAAGTCATTTATGTGAGAAGGGTGACTATATAAATCAATCAATCAATCAATCAATCAATCAATCAATCAAATAAATAAACTCCAAAAGAAAACGGGAAGAAGAATGTGGCATACTAGCTTTAAGTATGCACAGCAGCTGTTAGTGGTGTTGTCTATCAATCTCTCCTAGCACAGACCCCAAGTTCCCCCAAAAAACATAGTAGTGGGAGTAGTGGGAGTGGGAGGAGGAGGAGGGGAAGGAGGAGGAGGGGAAGGAGAAGAAGAAGGAGAAGGATCTCAAATTGCCTGCCCTACAACTTTGTGCTCTTTGGCTCACCTTCACTCGGACCATCTCTTCCGGAATATTCATCATAGCATTTGTCAACCAGCTCTCCAAACTTTTTGCGAAGTTTCGGATTGCTTGTGTCAAGGCACCTGGAGCAGAATTGGAACCAGAACAATAATTTCATTCTAACATAGGCAGCTTCAAAGTCTTTGGTATGGATCAAGAGTTGATCTAACCACTTCCCTCTCTACTAAACAAGATTTTTAACCCCACCAGTTGCAGAACCTGGGTTAAGTCCACAATGAGAGAAAGCAGAAGTGTCAGGAAAAGCCACTCCAAGAGCTGAAGTTTCTCCACCCACCATTGGTTGCCCTCAGTTTATCGTAGCCCATGATTGGCTGAAAACATGAGCTGTGCACTATTAGCTTACTCGGAATGGGCCGGAGCACTTCTGGGATGAGGACTTCTACCAGCCCCTGGTACAGCAAGTTGTCACAGTCTTTAGTCCATTTGAGAACAGGCTCATACTTAGACAGCATCACCAAGCAGTTCTTTGGGAGACGCTTCTCTGCTTCATCATGGCTAAAACATCAAACATACATATATGCCAAATTAAGAATAATCACAAAATTACAACTCATTTTCTCAGAAGCCAGCATGTCTTTCTGTAGTTCTTCACAGGAATAATCAATGAGTAGGAAAATTTGTTTCCTAGTCAACTTTCCTTTCACACTTAATGTTTTATTTGCCCTGACAACAGTCTTTTCATAATGGAATCCACTAATATCTTTTGGTGGTTAAAGGTTGCAGTTAACATTTCTGAAAAAGGAGGGCTGTAAATTGAGTGGGCCACATTGCACACATAGGGAAGAAATGACAACTTTGCAATAATACTCACATAACTATAGGGGTGGTTTCACTGGGCTGGTTCAAATTATATCTCCAAAAAGTCTTCCAGAGTGTTTCTACCAGTGTGAACTGCAGGTTTACCATCACATCGACAATAGCCTGCAGAGAAGTAGTAGTTGTATAATCCACTGCATACCTTACTTTCTTGCAGTGGAAAAGTTAAACTTAAACTTAAACCCTGAGCCGCCCCACACCTTACCTGATTGAGTCACGTGGCACTCCTCCCTGCTCACTGGCTTTTTATTTCCCAAATAGACTACTTTTCCAGCCTGCCACTGGCTAAGAACTTTCCCTACCTACTAGGCTTGCTCATCTTGTGGAAATCTTTCCAGCAGCAACTATCCCTTTTAAACCAAGTTTATTCAACATATTTAAGCCAAAAAATTTCCAAAATTGATTGGGAAAAAGGATCAGTTAGAATATCTAAAGCAGTGCTTTTTAACTGGTGGTACGTGTACCACCTTTGGTACTTTGCCATGTGGCAGGTGGTACGTGACTGCTAGCCAAGGGTAGCGGGGAAGGGGAATGAGCCGAAGCGAGCCGAGCCTGAGGGAGAGGCAGCTGCAGGACTGCCTGGGCTCAGCAGAAGCTGATTGGCTCCAGCTGATTGGTGGTTCCGGAAGCAGCTTGGAGCTGGAGATGAACTGAAGAAAAAGGGGAGGGGGAGGAGAGGAGAGACTATAAAAGGAGGTGGTTTGGGTGGGAAAGGGAAAAAAAAGACAACAGGGAAAGAGAAGGAGAGGTCATCAGGCAGGGAGGAAACAGAGACAGGGAAGAAGCAGCAGCTGTTGCTGGAAGAAAAGGTCCTCTTGTTCGTTTTCTTCAGCCAGGAGAATTCAATCAGCGCTGATGAAATGAAAAGGTGGCATGTCGGAAAGGAGGTGGGTTTATTTAATTCTGGATCAGCTGGCAGCTTGATTGCGTTACCATAAAGATTTTTGTACAGTTTTTACAGTGTTTTGTAATTCAGAGGCTTGGTTTGTGTGCTTTGGTTATTGGAATATTTTAGTCTGTATTTTAGGCTAGCAATGAGTCCAAAGTGTTGACTTCCGTAGGTTTAATCCCTTTAAACAAATGTAATTAGTTTTACCCCCTTATCTTGAGTCTGTCTATGGCTTTTAGAAAGTTTTCTTTGAAGGTAAACAGGCTTAATTTAAGGCTAAAGCTTTTCACAATTGCTGGAGCCTTTCAGTCTCGAATTGCAACATTGTGACACATGACATGCCTGAGGCAGTTTAAAGAAAAAAAAAACCAGAGTTTATGTGTTTCTTATTTTATGAGCCTTTCTTGTTTTGCACTTGATTCCTGTGTCTTTAAGGGCACAGGGAAGGGATTTGGGGGAAGGGTGCATTCTTACTACACTGTGGAAAGAGCTCAGAAGGGAGAGAAGAAGAAGGGCCGACCAGCTAGCTCAGGGGTCTACAAACTTAGCAACTTTAAGACCTGTGGACTTCAACTCCCAGAATTCCTCAATCAGCCATGATGGCTTAGAAATTCTGGGAGTTGAAGTCCACAAGTCTTAAAAGTGCCAAGTTTGAAGACCCCTGAGCTAGCTGGTAGTGGTGCATATTAATAAACATGGATAAATTCATCATACATTTGTCAGTGCAAAGGGAAACTGATTCAGCAAAGGAACAGCCACCGAAGAAATTAAAACTGGTACTTTTTTCCTTTTTTTCTACAGTTTGTAATATTTTATTAGATTATAGAATAAAATACAAAAATACAAAAGCAAATAGTAGGACACAGTGAAAAGGGGGGGGGGAAAGTGAGGGGAGAAGGGAAAAAGAATAGACTTCCTCTTTTGCAGTAGAAGGAAGCATTAACATTGAACCTCAACTTTTCCATAATATTATAAACTAGCCTTTCTATAACAACAAATGAATCTACTCAGTAAAACCCAAAATCCCCCCCCCCTTTTTTTTAGTTTTTTTGTCATGTCCTAAAAGTGGTACAATCTATGAAAAGGTTGAAAAGCCCTGATCTAAAAGATTCCTGCTCTAGTGCCTCATTTTGCTTTCCAATATGATCCCTGACATACCTCACAATGTTCTCGATACAGCAGCTGGAAAGCCTTTACATCTTCAGCCCCAACACCCTCAGGGAGATTCTTCCCTTGTAAGTCCAACTCTGTGAAGTCAGGCAAGCTGTGAGAAGCATCTGCAAAGATGAAGGAAAAGCCAGTCCAACAAGATCAACTAAACCCTAATGAACAGCCACACTTTTCTGTCATTTGTCCAAATTGCAAGTGAAAATTTGGGTTTTATTTGTGCTTGGATCTTATTTTCTTGAAAGAGGTAGAAAACTGGAACTCTGTGGCCTACTGTTTTACCACCACAGAAATACTGCAAAGACAGCCATATAAAGGATGGTGCATTATCTCTTCTGCCTCCTACTCAGAGATCTCAATGGATCAAGTCTCATTCTTACCTAAGAACTGCTGGTACTGTTGCACTTGGGCACTGATATCAGATAGCCCTGAGGTCTGTTGCTGCCCCACAGCTACTCCATTGGTCATACCCTCCATTTTCTGAATAGGTTTGAGCCTAAAAGACAAAGTAACTCAGAGTTAAGGCATTTTGGAGCACAGTAATAGTAAGGAAAGGGGTGCAGTATGCATGATATTTGTCAACATTGCTAACATCGGATGTTTTTGCTTTGACAACACTTAGAGATGCAACCATTTTCTTCTTATGTTTTACTTTTAGAGTTAGATGATGCTGGGGGGGAAGAATGTGCATGAGAGTTTAGTTAGACATAACAATACTGGACCTAGTGTGTGAACCAAGGTTATTGAAATAAGAGATGATAAGAATTGGCGGGCTGGAGAACTGGAGGGAGAGCCTGCATTTCAAACTAATTGGAGAATGTGATTTATTACTGTTAATTGGAGGAGGGAATTGTGCTTTGATACTATGTGCTCAGGGGACGGGAATCCAGTTTTTGACTTTGATTGTGTTAGTGCCGATGCTATGCTTCTCAAATAAAGATTCTTTAAGGTCAACAATGCCTCGAAGTTCTTTGAAGAGTTTCATCTGTCGGATCCATGACAATATCAGGACAGATATGTAGTGGTGCCCTATCAAAACTATATCCAAAATTGGATGTAAATAGAAAGGAACTTCTTCTGAGATTGCACAAAATTTAAACAAAAAGATAGGGGAAAGTACTAATCAGGAACTTCCAAAGACAAATCATGGAGGTTACTACAAAACCAGACAGCAGAAAAACTTAACAGTTCCAACAGAAATCTGGAAAACCACTTAATACCACTGATCTAATTGGCCATGTATTAGATTTCTAGGGCTGTGGGCAAATTTATATAAGAATCTTCACAACCAATGAACATGTCCTCTGTCACTGAACACCTGCACAATCTCCTACCGTTGCTTCTGAGAAAAAGGCTGTTGCCTCATGGCCAGATGTTGCTGGTCCTCCATGAGCCGCAGCAATGGGGAATTGGCTTTGATGCGCAACCCATAATAGTGGTATTTAGAATTCCCTCTGAAAGAAAAATGAAAATAGAAACCTGTATATAAATTGCTTAAACCATAACCATACATTTTGAGGAAACGTCCCTCCTGCCATATAAACTTGGTAGAATGGAAAAGACAACATGAACACATTCTAGCCCAGTTTGGGGAAGGGAAGCAGCAGGTTAGAACAATATTATGAATAGGGGAAGCTTGCAAGGTAACTTACTTAGATAGGAAGAAAAAAAAACCCTCTCATTTATATGTTTATGTTTTTAGAAGAGAGAAAAACTGGAGTGAAAGACTAGGATGATCCCCATGAAAAGAATACCGAATAAAAACTAGCATTCTAAGGAGCTTGCAAGGGGTGAAGTTCAAATTAATCATCTATCTTGGATTCAAGGTGTTGGACAAGTAATTTTTTTTCTGGCCTTACCAGCTTATCCCTCTGTGAAAGTGGTATATTGTGACTATTATGGAAAAATATAAGGTAGCCATTCTTTGACAGTGCCTTTAACTTTTTCACAAAATTTCAAGACTGCTAAAAATTGGGGACCACTGATTCAGTAAAGTTTATGAAGTGTGTAAATATTCCAAAATATCAAATGTGCTGTTATTATTCATGCCATACTGCCTAGTGAGTTCATGACTGGAATGAGATTTGAACCTGCATCTTTCTTCAGCCTTGGAGGCCTGAGGAAACACCAATTCTGTTTACAGAATATTTAACTAGTTATTGAATTAAACTATTTCTGGCCTAGCATCAAATACTATACTGTAAATTGATCAAATAACAGTGCGTCATATGCAAAGCTAAGGTATACAGTAATAAAGAATTCAAAATTAAACCAATTAGGTTGTACTGTATGAATGCAGCTGCTAGGTTTATCTGATTAATCATGTTTTGTGAAGCTAGCTAATATTATTCCCCATAATTACATAAAAACCATGTTTTATAGCTAATCCAGTTCCTCCCAAAACAAATACTTGTTTCAATACGTGTCCTCTTAATAGTTGTCAGTATAAAAACAGAAACACAAATTTAATACTTATGCTGGGTTTTTTCCTTATATGGAGGAAATCATGCTGGCTTACAAAACCTTTTTACATCACTTACACAGCCTTCCATCTTTTTACCTGGTTCCAAGCCGGCGAGTTCGGAGTCCCATAAATACTGAGCGGATCAGCTTTCCAAAAGATGCTGCATTGACTGGCTCCAGTTTCTGCTCCTGACAATGCAGGAGGTAATGGCAGTACAAGGTACTGCGAGGAAGGCTCACACCCTCAGCAGTCTCATAGTTATCCAACAGCCACTGGACCTACAAAGCAACAGGAGTGCAGTTCACAGGTCCTTCAAGTTCGTTCCCAAGCCTTTAACGTTTCCTGCTTCAACTCCTTCTACTGCCTAGCTCTCCCCCTCCATTTCTCCCCTTTTGGCTGCCCTGCACTCCTACACCCTGAACTCCACCACCCTTGCCAATTCTGACTAATCCCAAATAATCTTCTCAATATTCTTTCAGTTCCAGCTGAAATGTTTATTACTTTTACTTTCATTTGCCATCACTCACTTCCAAAATAAACATTTTATTTTCATCAAAACAACTCTGCATTTTGTCTGCCTGAACTACCCTTAACTGTTCCTTGCTCTTTTTTTACTACGTTTTAGTACATTTTTCTTTCTATCCATGTTGGTAGGTTTAGATATTTTCTTTCTATGCACATTGAAATATTTAATCAATCTCATTTGGGAAATCAATGTGAAGAGATTTATGGATTATAATGGTTCTAAAGAGAGGCAAGCAGCAGAGAAGTGACTAAGCATTTTATATACTTTTCAGTTCTATGGAGATTCAGTCATCCAGGTCATTGTTGTCCCAAAGGTGCTTCCCCCCCCCAAAAAAAAGGCAACTGGACTTTCTTGGTTTTTTTTTCCCTTTGAAAGTGTTTTGCTTCTCATCCAAGAAGCTTCTTCAGTTCTAACTGGTGGAGAATGGAAGGTTTTATAGTTATATTCTTTAAAGTCATCTAGTCGTTAGCACTAGAGTGCTATATGAATCCTTCCATTCCCCACTAGTTAGTTAGAACTGAAGAAGCTTCTTGCATGAAAAGTGAAATGTTTTCAAAGGAAAAAACCAAGAAAGTCCAGTTTGCCTTTTGGAAAGAAAGAAAAAAGAAAAGAAAAAAGTGCCTTTTGAGATATTTTTCAATTCTTATACAAGATGAAAATTAGGCAAAAACTAATTCTAACAATTAATTCATCATGTTCCCTTTGTGGCCTGAAAGAAAAATGTATGAAATCTGAGCTACAATCAGCAGGCACAAAAATGTTACCCTTATTCTTATTGTGTTGTCTTGCCTCCACCAAGAATCCATTGGGAGATTAAAAACAGATTCAGAATCTTTGGCTGCTGTAACTTTGGTTGTTGTAAAGTCAAGTCTCCCAAAGGGAGACCCCCATGAGTTAACTCCCCCCAGACGTTTCCAAATTGCAAAGTGTGATCAACCAAGATGACCACAGAACTGTGCAGCAGAAAAACCTACCAACAGCAATAGGTACCTTCCATTACCTCCAAAGTAAAATTCAAAATAAATTCTGTTATTCACTGAGAATAACAGAAAAACAGAATCCTCTTTACCAGAAGAAATCTTCTGAGAAATTGCCAGAGGGTTTAAATCAACTAGAAACTGTGGTTTCAGACCATTTACTGGGGTTTTGTGGGAAAATTAACTTTGAGGAATTAAAAATTATCTTGATTTTGAGGAAACATTTTAAAAAAAAAAAATATGCTACCAAAATCTCAAGTTAGTGAGAGATTGTAGGTAAACTCTTGAAGTATATTCAGAATATATACTGTTAGCATAATGTGCTATCCATACATTTGTCAGTTCATTTATTTATTTATTCAATTTGTACGGCCACTCATCTCACTTGAATGACTCTGGATAGCTTATCCCAGGTACCCTTTTCGGGAGTTGAGGGTGTAACCTAACAATAGCCCAACTCTCTTACAGTTGGATCTTGCTTAGAGAGACTAGTAGTGGGCAACATGTACACTAAGCCAGGGCTTTTCAACCTTTTCACCCATTGTACCACTTTTAGGATATGGCAATATCTGAGTACCACCAGTCGCATAGCAAGGTGTCAAAAACTTGATGACCCCCCCAAAAAAGGAAAAAAGTGATAAAGTACAGGTAGTCCTCGACTTACAACAGTTTGCTTAGTGACTGTTCGAAGTTACAATGGCACTGAAAAAAGTGCCCCCCAAGCCACAGCCAAGCAAGACACTTGCCTGCCCGCCCGGCGGTGCTCTTCCTCCTGTCCGAGGTTTTCATTGTTGTGAGTATTTCTGTTGAGGATTGGCAGCGAGGGTGGGGTAGGGGGTGTTTGGTTTTTATTCCCCCCGTCTGCTGGGTGGTTGCAGCAGGTTTTGGTCACTTCACATGACCCTGGGACACTGTGACCGTCATAAATATGAATCAGTTGCCAAGCATCTGAATGTAAATCACAAGACCCTGGAGATGCTGCAACATTCCAGCTGATCGGCTCTTCTTCTGGGCTCAGCAGAAGCACCAGGATCAGCACCAAGCTCCAGCTGGAGCCTGGCGCTGATCCTGGCACTTCCACTGAGCCCTGATAGCCCCAAAGAAGCGCCGATCATCTGGAAAGCGGCACTGATCCTGGTGCTTCCGCTGAGCCCTGACAGCCCTGCAGCTCCAGCCATCTCTCGCTCAGGCTTGTGCAGTGCTACCACCGGTTTAGCTCATTCCCCTCCCCCGCTACCACTTTTCTAGGATGGTTGCGTACCACCTGCCAGGTGCCAATGTACCACAGGTGGTACCCGTACCACTGGTTGAAAAGCCCTGCACTAAGCTATCTTTTAGAGCAGTCTGCCAACAAAATATTGCTTTTCCAAAATACAGGCATGGAAAATCACTGTATTAATAAGATTAGTTGCACTGACAGCAAGAAAAGTAACTTCCAATTCCTTTGAATCAACAAGCAAATATCTTAGTGGAAAACTTACTGTTGCAGGAGAGGCACGGGTGGTGTGTGAATAGGACTGGCTTGAACTTCCTAGCATGTAACCTCCTTGAATCACATAGGTCCCTGCGCTGCTGCTGCCGCCACTAGTTCCTCCTCCTCCTCCTCCTCCACCTCCTCCAGCAGTGCTGCCACCACCAGCACCATTTCCTGCTGCTGCTGCTGCTCCTCCTGCTGCTGCTCCTCCCCCTCCTCCTGCTGCTGCTGCTGCTCCTCCTCCTGCTGTACTGCTGCTTCCATTTGGATTGGCTATGATTTGTCCTCCAGAAACATACATAGGTACCGAGCCACTGCTGGCCACTGTTTGTGAGGTTGCTGGACTGGAGACCTGCGTTGGGGTATTTTGGGATTCATAGTAATTTGCTCCTGTGTTTTGAGTATAGAGAGGGGTTTCTGTGTAAGGGTAAGTGTTGGCGCGTCTGAAATGGAAGAAATACAGTCAAATAAGCACATACACACATTAGGGGAAAAACAGCAACCTAGAGGAGAAAACTTCAACTACCTATATCCAGAATTGTATGACAGACACAGAGGAGGAAAGTTCAAGAAGCAGGAACATCGCTGGCAAGAGATTAATTTTTTTAAAGGTTTCTGTAAAAAATACCAATAGTTGCATACCAGGCATCCTGTTCCTGCCAGGTTTTCTCTGGCACGTAAAGGGCACTCCTACCCCATCCTAATCCAACCTATCAGATACAACTGGGGCACAATACATCAATTGGTGTTTAAGGTAGCATAAGAGTCTTTCTTAAAATATTTTCGGTTCTATCTTTTGTTGGAATAGTGGTTATCTCTATGGTTTAGAAATAATATGGAATCTGTTGGTTTAGACACAACATGGAAACATTTTGCCATTGTGTGAAAAACTATAGCATGCCCTTTTTTGGAGCAGTCACTTTGGCACCCTGAATCTGACCAATTAAATTATTAGGCCTCAGGGTAGCACAGACAGGATAAGACTGACTTCTTTATACTCACATGGTACTTGCTGTGTAGCTGGCATCTCCTCCTTCCACATACTGAACCTGATTAGGATAGACATGCTGCACAGGGACCTGCTGAAGCTGCTGGACCTGAGCACATAAGCAGTGGGAAGGAAAGGAAAAGCGAACTGAGATTAAGAAGTAAGGCCGTGTTTACTGTCCCTTTCCCTTTTTTCCCCTCCCAATATACTTCTCTAAAGTAAGACTGGGCCACCAGAATCCCTTTTTCTTCCATACATGTGCATTGCCTTTATCCTGCATCTGACATTCCGTTATCATGGATTCTCTGATCAAAGGCTAACCCTCACCCCAGAATTTCTATGGAATAAGAATTCTTTGTGTAAGTGAAAGACACTGCAGGTCCTCTGATTAGACAAAATAAGCTCAGCAGTACAATAATTAAGAAAGGAATGCAAGGCAAAGCAAATTTTCCCATATGTCAAAGCACAGAGCTATAGTAAAAAGTGCAAGTACTCTAAGTTCTTGGAAGTAAAATATTACAATAACAATACACCATATAATTATTCAGAACTATAGTTGACTGCAGTTATTTGTACTAGGTTTCCCCCTCATGATGTGCAAAATGACCTTTTACAAAGATGTTCAGTTTTCTTTTATTTACAAGAAAATATTTTTTATGTTTAGTATTTCAATATTCCACTTTCTTAGATTGAACCTTGTTCACAAACCCAGGCTGAAATCCTAACTAGCTATTAAAACCTATATTTTAACTTCCATGTCTTGAAAGTCCACCAAAATAAAATTTGTTTAACAATAGGGTATATATTTCCCACGAATAGCAATAGCACTTAGACTTCTATACCACCCCATAGCGCTTTACAGCCCTCTCTAAGCGGTTTACAGAGTCAGTATATTGCCCAACAATCTAGGTCCTCATTTTACTGATCTCAAAAGGATGGAAGGCTGAGTTAACCTTGAGCTGGTGAGAATCAAACTTCTGGCAGTAGGCAGATTCAGCTTGCAATACTGCATTCCAACCACTGTGCCACCATGGATAATGGTGGCTTAATGGTGGTGTCATAAAAAGATGTGAAAGCCGGAAATAGATAAATTAGGAAAATCCTTAGGGCTTTCTCCCTTTTCCCTAGGCCTGTAGTGGCGAACCTATGGCACGGGTGCCACAGGTGGCATGCGGAGCCGTCCCTATGGGCACGCGCACCATCGCCCCAGAGGGAGACCGGGCCATCTGCTCCCCTCCGCCTCTCCACATGCGCCTGCACTCTTGCTCTCTCTTGGCCGGGGGGGGGGGGAAATCGCTCTGGAGGCATAGATCTGGGCAGCAGAGGCCACGCCCACCCAGTGGGCCACGCCCACCCGGCACCTGGCAATACATAAGTGGGTTTTGGGTTGCAGTTTGGGCACTCGGTCTCTAAAAGGTTCGCCACCACTGCCCTAGGCCATCATATTTCTAACAATTCTCTCACACACATCCCTTAAGATTCCTATATTTATTCCTATATTTATTTATGTAAAACAAAATCAACTCTAAGCCTAAAGAGGTCCAAGAATTTCAACTCCTCTGGCAGGGTATGGGGAAGGGGAAATTGCCATTTGACCATCACCAATGATTAAGATGAGAGTCCTTTGGAGGCACAGAAAAGGGAATGATGCTAGTTTGCTCTGTTTTCTGTTGCTTAAAAAGTGATGTGCACAGGACTTGCTATTCTTGGATCTCGGTTATTGCCCTTTGCTGGACCTACTTTAAGTGCTGTAGCTGCTGTTCCAAACACTAGCACCTGAGGGACTCTCTGAATCTTGACTCTCTGGTCAGGGCTGGAGTGATGAGAGGAGAGGAATGGTAGCTGCTCTATCACCACCTTCTGTTGTGGCAAGAGGAGTGGCTGAGGAAGCATGCGGACCAGCTCCACCCACTGCTCCGAGGCAGAATCTAGTGAGTGCATGTAGTGGAGCCTGTGCTCCGGGCCAGGTAAACAGCAGCTGGTCAGCTGGGGTGCACTGCTGCTGCTGCTGCTGCTGCTGCATTCTAGGGAGAGGCTTTGCTGTACTCCTTGTTGCTCCTGCTGCTGCTCCTGCTGACTGCTCTTAGAAGGACCACTGTCTGCATTCTAGACAATAAACAGAAAGACTAAAGCAATCAGAGCTAAAGGAAAAAGGAACAAGAATGTAAAGGTTGAGACTGAGAACAGAGGGTCCCAGTACTCTGGCTATCCTATATTCTATAAAGCAAACGGGACCTTCAGACCAAGAAACTGGCACAGCTCAGGGTCTTCACTATTTGGGCAAGTAGAGTGGTCAGTGGCGGGAATCTCTGGATGGCTACAAACCACATCCCCAAGAGAAAGAGGGAGGACAGGATAGACTGATCCTGGATTAGGAATATTATGATCGCTTGAATGAAACAAATGGGAGTATTTTTGCAGGAGGATTAAAGACAGGGCTTTAACATCTCTGACGTTAGTTACGTAGCTCTGAGGGCGGAAAGCCTCTGTGGCTATAGGTTACAAGAAATGAAAATGCAGGCCAACCCAAGAGCAGAAGACAAACACTTACCTCTTGGGTAACATGAACCTGCTGGAGCCCTTGAACTGCCAGTTGTTGCACTGTACCTGCTTTGGGAGTTGTGGGAGTTGTCTGCACAACAGATCTCTGTGGAATGAAATACACCAGAGTCTATTAGTGTACTTTGGGATCTAGTCTGGTCTAGCGGCTTAAACATCTGGCTAGAAACTGGGAGACCATTAGTTCTACTCCTGCTTAGACATGAAGCCAGCTGGGTGACTTTGGGTCAGTCCTGCTCTCTCAACCCTAGGATGGTGGAAAGGGTAAATCAATTCTCAAAAACTTTGCCAAGAAAACTGCAGGAACTAGCCCAGACAGTCACCAGGAATCAAAAACTGACTTTAGTATGCGTGCACATATACACGCACACACACACATACTAGCAGCTACTAAGACCTAGAATGATTCATTAGATCTTCCATGATTGTCCTTTTTCTAAACTAGTGATAGGACATTCTACAACAGTCCCTCTCACTTGTTTGGGAAGCAGAGTTAGATTCTAATGTGCTTCCTTTTGGAGAAACTAATTCCACTCCTAGTACTAAAGTAACAATCCAGAAGAAAACTCAAAAGAAGCACATTTTTAAAAAGTTAGAGTAAGGTAAAGATATATCTGAGAAATTGCTCAAAAGTTTTGGGGCCCTGGTAATTTGTTTGCAAGTTCCTCTGCGTGTGAATGTCTGGGTGGGTTCAATACCTTGCTTCCAGTGTAGAAAAAGGACCTTCATGAAAACTCCAAATGAACCATTTTTCTACAGTAAAACCAGGTCATTCTACAGTGGGAATAAACATCCTTAAGGTAGATTTATATCTGGAAGGCCTCTCATTTTTGCTAAGAACAATTTTCTGCACAGAAGAGTTAAATTACAGAAGATCATGTAGCAATCCTATAGATGTCTGTTGAAAGTGGATAAAATGATTGCTTTTCTAGTGGAATGAATTGTTCTTCCCTGTGGGGCAGGATTATTCTGAATCTCTTATGCTTATTTGGTGCAAACTTGATTCACCGGACTACAATTAGTGCAGTCAAGATGGAATATTATAAGGTCCTTAGGAAACTGTCAGAAACTCTGAACTCCTTCTCAGCTAGATCTCGATAACTCCATTTGATGTCCAATTTGTGCCAAAATTCCTCTAGTTAGGTTTTGTAGCTAGGGCAGAAGGAAGTCCCTGAGGGAGACAAAACTGACCTTGAAAATAAAAGTTGGGCCTAGGCACTGAGGGATGGATGATACAAGTACTCTTTCTTGACCAACAGTGAACCTATTTCTAGGGCAATTATGAATGTCCTCCCCATGTTAAGTGTTTAATGGTTACTTTGTGCATGGGCTTGAATAATGTTCATATTAGGGCTGGAAAAACTAGCAGGATGTTTCGTGACAGATTCTGGTAGACCATGAATAGTATTGTCACTGAGTCTTTCCTTCAGAAACTTGATCTGAAGATGGACATCTTCATCATTGGTGTCAGGACTGAGAAGTGTGCTGACACCAGTCTGTGGAGATAGCTTGATTATAGTCCATCTCTGAAATCTTTTGGTAAAAAGATGAGGACTTGAGAGGTAGAGGCTGATGTTGATGACATTCCGTTCCTTAGGCTGTCTTCAGAAAACCTGGTATGGGAGTACATATATAAGGTGCACAACCTCTTTGGAATTATAGGTAGTCCTTGACTTACAACCATTCATTTAACAACCATTTGAAGTTATGACACTGAAAAAGTAACCTACGATCAGTCTTTGCACTTACAACCATCACAGTTTGTAGCCACTTGATCAAAATTTGGGTGCTTGGCAACCCATATTTACAATGATTGCAGTGTCCCAGGGCCACTTGTGACTTTCTACAGGGCTTCCAATTATCAAAGTCAATAAAGAAGTTGGATTCACTTAATGACTGCATGGTTCGCTTAACATTCACAGTGATTCGCTTAACAAGAAATGTAGCAATAAAGATCATAAAATCAGATGTGACTCACTTAGCAACCAGATCACTTAGCAACAGACATTCTGGTTCCAATTGTAACTGTAAGTCAAGGATTACCTTTAATGGTTGTGTTATTAAATCCCAGGATGGCAAGTTAACCACATTCAGTCTCCAGGTCTATAGTTGTAAGCAGCTGGGATCTGTCTCAAAGGTGCTTTTTCAAAAAGCAACGGTATTGTTTTTTGAGAAAGAAGACGACGATGTTTCACTTCTCATCCAAGAATCTTTATTGGTTGTGATTGGAAGCAAACCATTTTCTTCTTCTTTCTCAAAAAACAATCCAGTTGCTTTTGAAAAAGCACCTTTGAGATAACTATGACCTGGATGAGTGAGAATCTCCATAGACCTTCAGCTGGGATCTGGGAAATTAAATCTTCTATAGGTTAGCAGGTTGGGTGAGGCCAGCAGGATCCGTGATTGGGACGTTGAGAGATTGACTAAGTTTGAATAGTAAGACAGCCTAGGCAATTAGAAGCTTCGCATAAGTTTCAGGAGCCCAGGCATTAGCAGAAATTGGTGGAAGACATACAGTCTTTGGACCAAGAGTTGATAAAGAGATTTGTTGCCCCTGCTCCCTAGTTTGGAAAGTGTGAGATAAACTGCTCCATCTTTTGAATCACTAAATTTGCTAGGAGGTCCCACAAAGATTGAAACTATTTCTTCAAACATCTTGGTTTTGAGACCTTAATTTGGTAATGTTCAAGTCTTCATGGCTGAGTTAGTCTGCTGTTGTGTTGTGGATTACCTGGATGTATTTTGCCATGAGTTATGCTATATTTTTCTTGACCCAGCTCAGGGGTAGGCAACCTTGGCTCTTTTATGACTCGTGGACTTCAACTCCCAGAATTCAAGGTTGCCTACCCCTGACCTAGCATAAGAGCTAGCTGACTGGTAGAGAATGGAAGGATTTATATTCTTTGCAGTTATTCTTTAATGATAACTGCAAAGAATATAAATCCTTCCATTCCACATCATTCATTCAGAACTGAGGAAGCTTCTTGGATGAGAAGTGAAATGTTTTCATAGACAAAACCAAGAAAGTCCACTTGCCTTTTAGAAAAAGTGCCTTTGGGTCCTCCCTCTTCCTTCCCCTTTTCTGGACCAACCCAATATGGGGTTCTGATCTTAACCCCAGGAGGAGAAAGATCAGAGATGGCAAGACCACAGCTTAATTAGTGACCATTTGATCATTATCAATTCATTATCAGGAATCTTCAGTATTCAAAAAGTATTATTTGGCAGTTGAGCAATTGAACCATTAAAGCATCATTGTTCCTTCTGTGAAGAACAGAGAGGAATTGGGTAGTTAGAACCATTCATTTCCTTCCTTTTGCATGCCCCAGGCTATCTGATTCTCCTGGAAAGAGCTGACAAGATCTCCTGAAGCTACAAGCAACATGCAATTGTGGTGGGCAGCTCAGAGGTTGATGCAGTGAGAGCCAACCCTCTTGTTCAGTTCCAGCCAACAAAGCAGTTCTCTACATGCGCATAGGTAGCAAGTGTCTATGATTTTAGTGATTATTGGCCTTCTCATTCCAATTTCTAGGTAAATATAGTATAAGACAAGGAACTAAAAGAGAAAGAAGCGAGGAAAGTCTGGCTACTAATGGAACTTTAGTTGCATAGATGGCTAGTGCAGTTAGCAGACCTGCATTCTATCCAGAACAAGGTAGAGTCAGAACCAAGATTGGAATTATCTCCTCTCATGGAAAGCATATTGGAATCTATTATGGTAGCTCTGCCTCCAGAAGAAAGGGTAATGATATATCCCATTGTAGAATGCTTGGCCCAACTGTAGGAAAATATTTTAACTTTCATTAAAGGGGAGAAAATTAATTCTTTTATCATGAGAAAATTGTGCAAGTTCCTCTGGCTAGTATTTGTCACCTAGATTCTGCAGAGGAATTTTTGAAACATTATTAGATGTCTACCTATTACATGACTGTAACCTGACTGTAAAGTAATTCAGCATTTGATCCCTATGGAAAACTAGATCTACAGTAAGTGGTGGATTGTTGGCAAAAACAAAACTTCTCCTAAATCAGAAGTACCATTTCTTTTTGATCTGGATTAATTACACAAAGCACTGTAATAAAAATTGTATTCCGGTTTGTGGTGCTGTGGAAGAATGGTCTATGGAATTCTGCAAGGCTTTATTTTTGAATACTTACACAAGAACACATTATAATGAAGAAGAAAAATCTGCAATTTTTTAAAAAAAAGAACTTACAAAATTATTATTTTCAGAAAAATGCCTTTAAACGTGTTGCTTTTGTTTGGGCATGCATTATACATTCAACAGAATGCAATTAATTTTAAATAACAAAGTTATTCCCCCACCCCTCACATGGGACGACTTTGGTTCTTAAAAATACAGAGTAATAGGATATTATGGTTCAACAAGCAAAACAACAAAATGTTCCACAAAAACATTTTTATTAGCTGTGAAACACATATAAAACACATACAATCTGCCATTGGGAGAAGTGGACATGAAACAGAAATGGGCCACAGTAGATGCTTACATGCTTGTTTTAGGACTTGCACAAATCTGGGAGTTGTTGAAAGGAAAGTGTTACTAAGTTCTGAGTTACATGCACTGAAATACCAACTGAATGGTGGGCTGAAGATTTCCAAGGGTGCTTAGAAATTGTTGGCAATAACAATTTAAGAATCCAGGCTAACATCTTATTAGGCTTGAATTCTTGTCATCCCAAAAGCAATGACTGAAATTGGGGAGGACCACAAGTCTGATGCAAGCAAAAATACAGCACCTCTTGTGCAACAGGCACTTGCTGGACTCCGTGGACCTGGAGCTGCTGTACTTGTCCTGGTTTAGCGGCAGAGTTACTGTTCTGGACAGGGGAGCGCTGAAAGGCAAGGAGGAGCACTTTACCCTCTCTGGGTACGGACAAAGGCACAACTGCATGATGGATTGTATTATGTTTTGACAATTCATGCTCACTTGATCTTAGCTAGAAATCAGTAAGGTTCTTTCGGGTTGAAAATATTCCCTTTCTGGGAACAATTTTTACAGTATCCAGATTTTTTTTAAAGAGCATTTTTTAAAAAAAAAAAAAGCAGGTATGGAGAGAACTGAATATCAACCTTCCATTTTTCAAGTATTTTTCTCTAAGTCTGGAGGGGTGGATTCTGACATCAAAGAACAAACATTTTTGACAGCCCCAGATATGGTCTCAACTTCTAATATTGTTCTTGTGTGGTTTTACTTTAGATAAAAATGGAATAGTCCTGAACTGTTTAAAACAGTCCTACACAAAAACCAGTTGACAAACTGACTTTCGGTTTTAAACTACAAATGTTTCAGGACCAATAGCATACAAGATTGCTAAACTGAATGTCATTAATAAGAGCTAACATAGGAGCTTTCATGATTCTGTCACGAAAATTAGAATTGCCACCAACCAAAAATCTAAGAAGATGGTTATATTGTGTAAAGGATTGTTGGACCACTCTCCTGTGGTCTTATTTATATTAACATTTAATAGTGCTTAATGGTCATTTATACTTGTCTTTATTATATTGTGTACTGCAGGATTACATTTATAAATATGATGAATAAATAAATAATTAAATAAACTAATTCCGATGGCTCACAAATATGTATATGAAGTGAGGAGGAAAGTTGTATTGTCTAATTTCAATCAGCCAACCTAAGAACCCAAAAGAACATCTTCATTAGGAGCATCACAATCACATCTTTCAAAGCAAGAATCTTATTTATCTTCTCTTGCATTGTGCTATATGGAAGAAGCCACGAAGAAACTGAAGGATGAAGTAACCTAATCAAACGATAGGCTAGATCTTAACTGAAATTCATAGAAATAGAAATTATTCCTGACACGGATTGACACAGACTGATCTGTAAACTAATGGACTCTTAATGCTGAAACAGATATAAACAAATTTATCCTTAAAGTGTTAAACAATTATCTCACAGCAGCTTTGAAAGATTCTGATATCACTATGTGGGACAAGCTGAAATTAGCTCCAGGCAGACCTGTAACAAAACAGGTTATGACTTCCGGTGGTGACAGCTGGCATCGCATGGCGGCTTTTTTAGCCGCCCGTCCGGGAGCGTGTAAAAGCTTGAAGAGACAGCGTCTGCCAGCTGTCTCTCAGCTAGGAACCTCGTCCCTCGGGCAAAGAGGGGGAGGTGAGTGAGTCCGGATAGGGCTAGAGCTTCCTTTTGCCCCGGTTTTGTCTTAATCCGGGGTGAAAGATGCTAGCTCACCCGGAGTCTGGACAATCTCCGCGCCCCGAGACGCCTTCGCTCCTTGCTTGTGGAGCGAAGCCAGATGCAGCTCCCACCTCTGTGATCGAAGGTATTTGATTTAAAATTATAAACAGACAGAACTGAACAGGAGGCTGGAATTGTAATGGATTTATTGGGACTTTAACTTTGAAAATTATCAACATCTTCTTTATTTAC